TTTCCTGTCTGAGCACTTTGTAGTTCTTTGAATGCAGCTCCATCTTTCTCTTAGGAATCCTCAGCATTGACTGGATCCATGTAGATTCCAAAATGTGAAACTTAGATTGTATATAGAATGCACTGTGTGTGTTGAAAATGGGCTCATTATTGTGATGTTTTCAGATATATTACATATGCCAAAGAAGAAGAGGCCATCAGGTGTATTCAAGCTGTACACAATTTTGTTTTGGAAGGGAAAGTGTTAAGGTCACCCTCTATGCTTTGTAGCCTTATTGCAGCAGTTTTTTTTACATAACGCAGTTAACCTAATAGTTAATGGTTTGTTGCAGAGCGTGCTTTGGTACTACAAAGTATTGCCATGCATGGCTGCGGAACATGGTATACTCGTTGCTTCATCCTGGCAGCTTTATTTACCATTACTCTACCTACTGCCATCCTTCTGAGGGCTTTTTTCTTCTTTTTTTTAGACCTGTGGAAATCCAGATTGTCTCTATTTACATGATGTAGGAAGCCAGGAAGATAGTTTCACTAAAGATGAGATAATCTCAGCATATACAAGGTAAGCTGAGCTCGTTGAACATATGTGTGGAAAGTTCCACTGTTCCTTATTATGCTTGCATCTGTTTTATTATATCAAAGGCACTGTGCCAGTCCTAGCCATATGTACTTTTTCCCCTGCCAAGCCTACTGCTACTGTTACTATATAATGCTCTTCTGTTCTGAGAATTTGTAGTCTATCAACTTTTCCCTATACTATGCATGAATTATTATGCTTTGCTAAATGCTAAGATTTTCAGTAGTTCTGATTGGTGCTTTTGACTCATCATCTCTCGTTCCTACAGGAGTAGGGTTCCCCAAATGGCGTCTAGTGTTTCTCAAAGACGCGCAGGGACTGTATTACCTCCTCCAGCAGAAGATTTCTCATATAGTGCAGTGGTTGCAGCTAAACATCCAATCAAGAATGGAATAACTGTATGTTTTTTATACTGAAAAATCCATTGGGACACTGGACATGCTCATTTCTGTTTGATTTCATGCTGCTACATTAACTGGTCTTATTTTGTACAGAATACTGCAAATCAATCCAGGCTTTCGCCTCCAAACAGTAGTTCTGGGAGATCCACACTTCCACCAGCTGCTTCATGGTATGATGCTGCTTAGGGTCTCATGATATGTTTTAAAATGTGAATTTGTTGCTAAAATTTTTTTGGTATGAGCAGGGGGCATCGCGATTTGAATACCAGGACAACAGCAACTGGGGTGGCATCGTCACAATCTCTTACTAAATCAAAAACAGATCCTCAAAGTAATTCATTCTCAAGTTCTTCGACTGTTTCAAGTACAAAACTACCTTCTTCATGGAATGATGACACAAGCACAGTTCCGAAAATGATGGAAGGACGAGATAGTTTGTCTAAAACCTTGAAGCCATATAAGCCTGGTATTGCAAAGGAAACCCAAGCTGTAACATCACTGGAGTCATCGCTTGACATAGACTTCTCTACCATACCTTCAGCTTGGAACGATGATGATGTCACATCAGATGGCATGTCAAAAGGAAGTGATGAGAAGCAGGTTGTAAATGACAATGGAAAGTTTGAATGTTCAGTTTCTTCAAAGCCAGCTGAATCAGGGCATCTTACATCGAAGTCAACGACATCACCAAAGAAAGACATCGCAGTAAACAGTACCAGGCAAAGTCCTCTAAATTGTGTATCAAGTCCATCGATTTCTAAATCAGAAGTAAAGGATGGTGATGGTGATTACCAAGTAACCAACATGGCTTCTAAAACATCTACTTCGGTAATTAGAAAGGACCAATCTAATCAAGCAGCTATTGACACAGCAACCGAAGATACTAGATCTGAGAGCACGGATATTGATAGGCTGTCTGTTGGAGTATCTTCAGTAACATTAAGCAGAAAAGATGGGGTTCAAAGTATTGCCGAAAACCAACAACCGGATGCAATCCTAAGTACTTCAGTTGTGGTGCCCTTTAGTCAGAATTTGAAACTTGCTGACAGTAATGATTCTACATGTCAGCCTAGTTCAGATAAGCATCATGATTGGTGTTCAGATATCCAGAGTAGTGTGTCTCCTCAGTTAAATGACATAGAAAGTTATGCAGTAGCCACTGATAAATCTCATGGTAGAGTGCTGGATGCTGCTGATCAAGCTTCGTCTTCACCATATGTCCATTTCCCTAACACGTCTCCTATTTCACTGTGGAATGGTAAAGAAATTAACCATACATCAACAAGTGATAGAACTTCCACAATGATGCAACCTGGGCTGTTATCTTCAGTTGACAGCACTTCTACCATGTTAAATGGACATCAAGAAGGGCTAGGGACTATATATGCACCTGGTAAGGTTTCTGAACATCCTAGAATGAAAAACCATCAGCCTGGAGCAGTTGGTGCAGTGAGAATTGATAACATAGGCAGTTTTGACAAGGCTGTAAGTGTAAATAAGGATGAGAGCAGCATAATTGCTGATATTTTGTCTTTGGAGTTTGATCCATGGGATGAGTCATATTCAACGGCTAACAATTTTGCTAAGATGCTTAGTGCATCTGAAAAGAACGATGTGCTTTTTGATGCACCTTCATGGAAAACAAAAACCAGCAATAGTGAGTCTAGATTTTCATTTGCTAGACAAGATAATCAAGGAAGCTTCCTAGATTCATCTATGAGAAATTATAAAAGTGAGCAGAATTTCAGTTTGCTATCCCAGAATTCTCATGGAAACATTTATCAGAGTGGCATTGCATTTCAATCTCCTGAGGAAGGTTTCGCAAAGAGCAACTCTCTTACTATGTTGGATATGCTAGCTACCGGTGAGTAGTATGAAGTTATATTACGCTGCTTGTTTATTAAATTCTTAATGAACAGTGAGATGCATTTTAGTACTGCAGTTAATGTTTTTATTTTAATATTTATTTTATATATTTGAGGTAATATTAATGTGTCACAAAACAAATAGATGTGTTCGCTAGGATACAGAAGGGATCCAATGTTTGTGCACCCATTCCCCTCTTTTAATTCAATGTTGGCAATCTTGTAACATATGTGATTGGGTTGTGGAGCTATTAAGTATAAAATGCACTGTATTTTTATGTTGAAGCATTTTAGTAACTGATGTTTTCACCATGGTACTTCTATGTACTTACAAAAAAAATGCTTTTTCAGGCACATCAAAGCCTAAAGTATCCGCGCCTCCTGGATTTTCAGCACCAGCAAGAGTTCCTCCTGGGTTTTCTTCTGGATTTTCATCCCATGAGGGGTTGAATCCACCTCCAGGATTTTCATCTCATAATGGGCCTAATCCCCCTCCTGGATTTTCTTCTCAGGGTGGGTCTAATCAGATCTATGGTTCGGCATACTCAGGTTTGCTCTCTCTCTCTCTCTCTCTCTCTCTCTCTCTCTGCTTCTCCTAAAACAATTTCAGTTTCTAATAAGTTTGCAATGTTTTGCAGAAACTCGCCCATTTGATTATCTTTTGGGTATAAATACTAGCCATTATCAACCACAGTTAGCTAGACAAACAAGTGATATAGAATTTGTTGATCCTGCTATATTGGCTGTGGGTAAAGGGCGGATGCCTGGAATAAGTGATTCAGGGTTGGAGATGAAAACTTCCCATACTTTTCCTTCGCAGTTGCAAACATCAAATGATCCAAGGTTTCAATTACTTATGCAGCAGAACGTGCCTTCCCATCAAAATGTTGGATTTGCAGAACATGTTCAAGATGCATTCAACCCTATGAATGATAATTATCTTGCATCCCGACTTATACCTCAGAACCATGGTTCTCTATCCTCTTACACACAGATGTCACTCCAACAACCTAGAAGCTCACATCTTACAAATGGTCATTGGGATGGCTGGGGTGATTTGAGACAAGGGAATAATGTTTCCATGCCTGACATGTCAAGGATGTTATATCCAACTGAAGCAAACAACTTCCACATGCTGGGTTCAAATGATCTGTATAACAGAGCTTTTGGACTGTGATTATCTTTGGGAGATGCGACTTGACCTATTACCGAGCTAACTTGCACATTTCTCAGTTCTTGAAATTGATTGGTTGCACAGGCTCAAGATACTCAACTTGGTGATTGTTGAGCTTGTGGATTGGCGCATGAGTGTTTATTGAAAGGCATTGGATTCAAGTGGACCAGCATGAAACTGGGTGTGTAACCAGACGTTTCAAGCACCAGGTTTGTGTTTCACCATTCTATTCACTTCTTTTTTTACTATATTATTATATGCATGGCTTGCTACCCCTTGTCCTGAATAGGTGGTGTGAGTTATCTTCTTATTGCATTGGTTAGTACTGTTTGTGCTTGGTCTCTTCCATTTTATTCTGGAATTTGTTGCTGTGTTTGTTCTGGAATTTGCTGGCAAGTTACTCACCATTTGCCTCGTTTGGTCATCAGGTTCTGTTTTGGGCGAAAGGATATATATGTCAGATGCATCCATGAGGTTGTCCTTCAAGTTTATATATACTTGTGGTGGAAGCTGACTCGAGAATATATAAACCGTTTAGCATTTGCTTCTTCTTTTTTTGCCGTCATGTGGAAATATTTTCTTGGTTTTGGCATAGTAAAAGCGTCATTTTGTACATGATACGTTACTCGTTGCTAGTAGCTTTTGTGGTGCACATGAGATTATTTTGTTGATGGGTTTGCTGAACCAAACGTAAATGGCTATATGGTACCAGGCCAGCTTATGCTGAATTGGGTGTTGTTTGGTGTTGAATCAAAAACAAGGTCGAGGAGTACTTGGGTGTGCTGTTAATAATATCAATTCATTACAAAATCTCTGTTCCTTTTTCCTTGGAATTGTTCCACTAGGATGGCAGTTTCATTCAGGATTTCGGATGCAGCCTGAGCTGCACGGCCTGTACCGTTCAATCTGAAAGGAAACGCTCCGGTAATCATATCATGTGTTCGGCTAATAACCGAATTATTGTGGAAACCCAGACGTTGGACAGTATTATGAATCGATCTTGTTTTTTTGGTCGTTTTTGATACAAGAATTCGAGGGGGGACAAGAGAACGAGAGCCAATGTAAGAATGAACGAGAATGAATTCACCCAAAGACAAATTCAAAAGTGCACGACGACCTGAAGAAGCTCAAGGACAAATTCACCCAAAATTTGTTGCTCGGTGGCAAATCTAAACAAGTCATGCACAGCTTGCTTAACCTATCAACGAATATTAGAAATATAGCATTAGAAGAGTCCGTAATCCGTATGTGCTACCTCTACCTGAGACCTGGGCGCATGAGCAGCTCATCGAACGAAGCATTCTGCTCCAGGTCTTGTACGCTGCCTGTCGTGTTGACGGCTTCGGAGGGAGACGTCTTGGACATGAGGTGGTGAATGCTGGAGGGCAGCTCCCGTTGCAGCTCGATGGCAATGGCGTCCTGAATCTCCTTGAGCACCTCCGAGATGGACGGCCTCAGCACCCCCTTGGGCTTCACGCACATCGTCGCCACCTCCGCAATCTTCCACACTGACTGCAGGTCGTACCCTGCGTCTAACGACTGATCAATGATGCCGTGGATATCCCCACTCTCCATGTGCGATCTAGCCTGCCAATTCACAACTCTTCACTCAGCATCTTTGTCCGCGCCAATTGCTCGGATATCTTTGATAATTCACTATCAGGAAGAAAGACTAAATGCAAAGTTCATGTATCATCATAAGACCTACTACTTCTTACCCATTCAACAATGTTACGGCAGTGGAGCCCAAAGTTGTCATTTGAGATTGGCTCATGGCCTGAGATTAGCTCAAGTAAAATGACACCAAAACTGTACATATCACTCTTCTCTGTTAGCTGCTGCGAGATATAGTACCTACGAGCACACGCAAAAAGGGTGAGCTTGGGGAACACTTGGCATCAGATGTTACAAAGGTATATAGCAATTCAATTTGCAAGGCCATTGATAACAAGAATAGACTTCATAAATTTCAGGAAAGACATGGCCTTACTCTGGGTCCAGATATCCAACTGTTCCTCTAACTATACTTGATACATGAGACCCGTCGACAACAGGTTTTGACAAGCCAAAGTCTGCAACTTTTGCTCTCATGTTCTTGTCAAGGAGAATGTTACTGCTCTTGAGGTCTCTGTGGATGATAGTTGGGGAGCATCCTGTGTGGAGATACTCTATTCCTGATATTTTATTTTTTTTTCATGGAAATGAAAGACTTCAGAATCTTTGAAATGCATGTTGGTAGAATAATCACAGGAAAATTGTACACGAGGAAGGGAGGGAGATAAACCTTTTGCAGCATCTTCTGCTATCTCAAGACGCTTGACCCAGCTAGTTATTTTTACATCATCAGGGCCTCCTGTCAAAGTATGATAAAGTTCATGTCAATCCTGAGCCTCAGTGTCAAAGAATCATGCACGAGCTAGACAAGTAGACAAAGCCGCAGCTGAGCCTTGATTTATGTGTAGCATGGAAACTTCTCAAATCTTGACAGTTTGTATTCAGTTTTTAGTTAAGACTGGAAAGAAGTAAACATCAGAACAGAAAAGAAAAGGCTTATACATCAGTGAAGATCCTATAAGTTTTTCGGAACACGAATCCTTATCCAAAACTGGAAAAAGAAAACTCAAGCATGAATTTGCTGTATTATCTAGGGAAATATCAGGTGAAAAGTACCAATCCGATAAAATCGTGGAAACCACTGCACAAACTATGCATATGACTTCAAAAAATTTCTCAAAATAATTACTGTATGAGGGGAGGAGATAATGAGATACCATACGAAATCATGGAGACCCTAATATTCTAAAATATAACTACACATGGAACATTTACTTGTAGAAGAATCATTCTCTACACAACGACAATTTGGTGTTGATTCTGCAAACTAGATTTATCATCAGATGGTAGGACCATAGGAACTTACCACGGAGGTGCTCTTTTAACGTCCCGTTATGCATGAATTCATACACAAGTATATTTTTACCATCTTGCTGGCTGTAACCAAGGAAGCTCACCAGGTTTCTATGATGAATTCTTGAAAGCAATGTTACCTGAAACATAAGTCCGTCAGATACTATACTACATAGAGGGTGAGGGTCCATAGGATGTTCCAAATAGAAAATGTTCATATCTTATACTACTTAAAATAAATTGAGGTTATAAAGTATATGTAACGCAACATGGTCACATCCCATTAGTGTAGGTCTATCAATTAAGTAGGAAATGAATGTGTCCCAGAATATACTGGGCTTCAGCTTCAGCTTCAAGGTTTCAATCTACCAAGCAGTGATAAAATTAGCAATAGGTACGCAAGTTTTATTTATATCTTAAACTGTTAAACTGTGAAAAACAGCCCATTTTGGGCCGAACACAAAGCCTTTTTGGGCCCTGGGTCAACACTCATTAAACTGTGTGCACAAAGGTTAAAATTCATCTGTTTTTGGCTAAAGGCTACTCATGAGTAATTGGGTCAAAGGCTAATATAGATGCACTTTTGGGCCCAAGGTTGACTCACGAAGTTTTGGGCTGAAGGCAAGTTGTAACGCGTGTTTTTGGCCCCAGCTATAATACTTGTGCCCAAGACTAATACTCATGTGCACTTTGGCCAAAGGCTAATAATATTCATATGTTTTTGGCCCAAATTAATACTCACAAAATTTTTGGGTTGAAGGCTATTAATCATTTGTTTTGGGGTCAAAGGTTATAATCCATACATTTTTAGCCCCAAGGTTAATAATCATGATTTTTTTGAGCAGAATGCTAACATTCATGTGTTTATAGGTCTAAGGTTGAGGTTGAGTTCTTTTCAGCAACTTGAAACAACAACTTCCTCGGTTTCCGTCAACACGCTTCCCAAACTGCTAAACGATGCGTTTTGTGAAATATATAGAAGTTCTTTAAAAAAAATCAAATAAATCCATTTATTAAATTTATAATAGTTAATACTCCCTCCATCCTCAAATGTAAGACATATTTCTTTTGTCACCAAGACAAAGGAGAAATTAACTCATCTCCCATGTAACAAAATCAAGGAACTATATGCATGCAACCAATGAATATTAAGATGGTTGCTTGGGTTCCTGTCAACAATTAATTTAGCACATGAAGACTCCAAATATAATCATCTCTTTTAGAAAAACCAAAAAAAAAAAAAGCCTAACACCTTTGGATGGAGGGAGTACGTAATTAATTATGTGCTAATGATATGCCCCGTTTCCGAGCTGCGAACCGCTGCAGCCAAACTGCTGGTTCGAACTAGCCCTAAGACTAAAGAAATTATGAGGCAAAAGCTAATATTCATGTGTTTTTTGACCCAAGGCTAACACTCTTGAAATTTTTAGACGAAGCCCAAATTCATGCACTTTTGGTCCCAAGGTCAATACTAATGAAATTTTGTGCCCAAGGTTAATACTTGTATGTTTTTTTGGTGGAAAAGTAATACACCTGTGTATTTGGAGTAAAGGCAAATATTCTTGTGTTTTTTCAGCTCAAGGATGATATTCATGACATTTTGAGTGAAGGTAATATTTATGTGATTTGGGCTCGAAGGTAATATTCATGTGTTTTTAAGCTGAAGGCTAAACAATCATGCATTTTTGGCCCAAGCTAACATTCATTTGTTTTTGGGCCCAAGGTTAATACTCATGTGTTTTTGGACCAAAGACTTAATAGTTGTGTAATTGAGGTGAAGGCTATAGTCAACCATTTTTGGGCCCAAGGTTAATTTTTGGCCAAACGGGAATAGTCATCCATTTTTAGCCATAGTTTAATAGTCTTCATATTTTAGGCCGAACGCTAACACTTACTGTGTATGTGATTTATATTTCAAGAAAATATTATAAGGCAAGAAAAGAAACATACCTCATTCAAGAATTCTCGGATGCCTTGATAGGAGTCATTTGTGAGAAGTTTGACTGCGATTTCTCTCCCATCTGTAAGCTTTCCATAGTATACTATGCCAAACCCTCCCGAACCAATTCTTCTGTCAAATTTGTCAGTAGCATCTTCAATTTCAGACAATGCAAATCTGTGCGCCGATTCCGTGGCCACTTCACTGAAAAATGAGCCTAGCTTTTTTGCTGGTGCCGCAATAACAACAGTTTCTGGAGACACAAAGTAATTACTACGCGACCATACACCATACCAGATATGCCCAATGAGCTAAAGAATACGCACCGTCCGATGATTTCTTCTTCCTTTTGCATGTGAACAGGTAACAAACAATAGCAGCAACAAGAATCAAAATGGCCCCAACCACAGCACATACAATAATTACTATAGTGCGGCCAGTGTTACTGTGTCCCATGCGAAGGTCACTGTTTCCTGAGAAGCTGCATACAGGTAACAGATCAGAACAAACAGCACAATCCTATGCACAAGTTAGGTACTCGATTTACATGGGAAACAAATATATACTTTCATCGAAGGTAAATGAACCTTGCTAAGCCACACTGGAGTTCATATAGGCACAAAAGTATGCACTGCTCATATCAAATGATTAAGCTATGCTTAAAGAAAAAGCTACACATACTTGAAAATAATGCTCTTTTTGAAAAGCGCTTGTGGGACCTCTCCAGACAGCTTATTGTTCTGAATATACCTGTGAAGGCTTGGATCAGTAAGGTATTTTCGTTTCAATACAATGAATAAAGCAGTAAAATGAGATAAAATCTATAGCGATGATGCATGTTGAGGTCTTGAGGATCATAAGAACAAAATAACAGCACAAATTCATATTTACTGCACTTGCAATACAAATAGCATGGGGGTGGAAAGAAAGTGTACTGAAGCGTATAACTTACAACTCTTTCAGGTTAGGTAGTTCTCCCAAGGAAGGTGGCAATGCACCGGTTAATTGGTTGTCCTCAAGGTGACTGCAGTGCAGACACAAGCACCCTAAGTGCTAAATTACAAGAATAATGTTTCCAGGATGCACTATCAAAATAATGGGAAACTCACATATATTGCAAATCATGGCATCCAGTGAAATCAGGAATTTGACCAGTAAATGAGTTACCATCAAGCTTTCTGAATTTGAAGAAATAAATTTATCAGAAAAAAGCCAACTACAAAGAGGGGAGAGCAAAAAATAAACTATTCTGATCTTACAGTTCAACCAGCCCCGATAGCTTCGTTAATTCCACAGGGATACTCCCTGTAATGTTCTTCCCTGACAATGAGCTGCAAGAAATGATCCTTAGATCTCAAATGTTCAAATATTGAGCACAAAAACTCAAAATTGAAGGCAGATTGACAGGATCATCTTACATTGAAAATATCCTAGGTGCTGCCTCAGAACTGCATTGCACCCAAGACCATGATGCTGGTAAGCAAGGGTCACCACCCTCTTGTGCCCAACCTGCTTCTGGATACCGTGAGACCAAGCTGGCCATAATGTTTGCTGTCAATATAACCAGAAGCCCAAATTATAACACAGTAGGTGTATATTTCCATTTATTCTACAACACAGACAGACAGACAGACAATTGCTTACCATCTTGAGATCCCACAGAAATCTCTATATATTTGTAGATCTCCATGGCATTCAATATAGGTCCCTCTGACGAATCATTAGTCTTCTTGAATCCAAAAGAGAAAACAAATGGAAGTGGAATATTTGTGTAGCCTGGTTCATATAGACAATACTTTCCCTGAGCATTCTCTTCCACATCAACAGTTGGTTTACTGAATTCTGGCTTGCCTGGAATGACTAACTTAAATTTCCTAGTTTGATTTGGGGCCAAATCTTCAATTTCTGCAAAATATGAGACTCCCCATGCATTTCCTGGGAAATCTTCCAAATCAATCCGGTAGGTCAAGGATCCATTTTTGCCAACAACTGCAGTTTGCATGACCCTTTGAGGTGGTTCTTCGTTGGTACTGACGAATATGGGTTTTGTAGTTGATATTCTCTCCGTCCCCGGAGCAACATCGACAAGGTAATTTGCTCGCCTCACTAAATCAGACTCCCATATTCTATCAAATGGATCATCAGGATACCTGAAAACATCATCAACAACAAATTCTTTAGCCAGATATTGTAACGAAAGTATGAACAGTGGTGCTATGCAGCAGTAGTAGCGCATACCTGACTGATGCATTGCTTTCAGCACCAAAATTGATCCTTGCAGAGAGTCTAAGAAAGAACTGTTTTTCATCAGTGGTGTAGTAAAGGGAACCGTTAAATTGGCGAAGCTCGAGAGTAGAAATAAAGGGCTGTCCAGTGCTGGCATTAGAGAGGCAAACGCTGAGTGTTGGAGCAGCAGCGAGGATAATCGCCTCCTGGACGACTGGGGTGGTGGCATCATCAATGACAACGGTGGTCCATGGGGTCGGTCCAAGGGAGAGATCAAACTTTGGGTAGACATTGCTGTTGTCGAAGTTGCCGTAGAGGAAGGTTGCTCTAACAAGGTAACGTGTTCTGTTCCTGACATTCATGGTGTAGCAATACTTCCTGTTATCTGCTGGAAAAGAGCGAACGGTGGTATATTGCTGCAATTGTTGATTTTGGAGCAAGAGGTTCGCTTCCTGGCCAGCAGAGACAAACTTGGCATCAGAAGTCCACTGGATCCCAATGCCATCCGTGTAATCATCGTCTCCCCCACAATCCAAGCTGATGAAACCTGCATGCAACAAATCAAAGATGGGATTTTCTTTTAGAGATTTATATTTGGAGATGGATTTGATTTCCCTGCCCTGAAGCTGAAGCGGGTGCAGCGAATGGTAAAGAAGGGTGGTAATCAGTGAGTTCCAAGAAAAAGACGAGAGTGACTGACCAGGCTGAGCATTGGAGAGCGAGAAGGCGAGGAAGAGGAGCACAAGAGCGGCGGCGGCGGCGGAAGCAGACGGCATCTGTATTGATGATGGATTGATTAGCACAGCCGCGGGTGCGGGCTGGTGAATCAATCCATATGCTCCCTCCTTGGAACAAGTCCTAAAACAATAAGGAAAATGATTGAAATTTTGTTGGTAGTTGGGGCTGGGAGAGGGGCAATCACCAATTCTCTCTCTCTCACACACAGGCAAGAAAGAGCTCAACCAGAAACAGCAAGGGGAGTGAAGAGAATACCAAACCAAGCACTAGCACGCACCTTGTAATTGTAGGAGTATTCCAAGAAGAAGAAGAAGAAGAGCAGGAGGAAGGGGAAAGAAGAAGACAGGAGGGTCCCAATCCCAGTCTCCTGCTCTCACTCACAGCCAGCCTCTGCACCCTCTGTCTCTGTCTCTGTGTTACTAGTAATAATCTTGGAGAAAAGCAAGCAAGAAAGAAAGCAAGCAAGCATGCAGCAGATGTAGAGGAAAAGCAATGGAAAAGGTGAGAGAGAGGAGAGGCCAGCCTGAGCCTGCTTTGCCTTTTTTGCCTTTGCTGCGCTTTGGAATGGAGCGGAGCTGAGTGGACCACTACACTACCTGTTGCTACATCTCTGTGACTCTGTCATCACTCATTTGGTATGTAACTGTGTCTCCTGTATGTAACTACTAGAGTAATTAGCTTAACCTCCAAGCTCAGACTTTAAAAGGACTTCTCACTTAGGAGTATAATAAATCCAACACTACCATGAAGATTGAGGACCTCTGTTTTTCCAACTACTACAACAAACTGGACTACCACCAACCAAACAGCATCTTCTATAACTACTTACTACTGCTGCTGCACAAGAACATTCTAACAAACTGCAACTTTAAGTTCTAAACTACTACATTAAACTACCATCAGTTCAGTTTGTCTGTTGTTAAGCATGTTACAGTTTAGCAATCGTTCAATCATGATTCATGAGGCTCTGTTTCATATTCGGTGGTTCTAGTACTGCCTCTGGACTATTTGTAAAACAGACCCTAGAATCCAACGCAAAACAGACCCGGTTCATGAAAAGTTCCACCCAGTCTACCATTGGATGGTCTCTTCTTAAACCATTCTGGAAAAAAAAGGCAAAATATATTCATTTTCAGAAGGATATAAATTTGCTTTTGGTGAGGAATTTGACTTTTTAAATTTACATGCACATGCTAGTTGGAAGTTAGCATTTTTACAGTTTGAATGGATAACCTTGATAAGTTTAGAATTCTATGTCTAGAAATATAATTTAGTTTCCTGCAACATGCTGATTAATGAAAAGCAAAAGGTTGGGGCATTGGGCTATAATTTGGTCGAACCATATGATCGAAGCGAGAAAATGCAATATATGCATGGATTCGGTGTGAGACTGGGACAGGGCTCAATTTGGGTTTTTTCCTAAAGTCAGTAGCCAGAGGACCCACATATATAGATCATCAATGCAGCTAAAAAGCTAAGCTGGAAGAGGTTGACCAAACTATCAATTATATATATGCAATTCTAAAAGAATGAATGAAGAAAGAAAAAGGACAACCTACTTGGATCATGCATGCATGCAGCTAGCTGCTGGTACGATATTGTGCTAACAGTAACAGATGGAGTATATATACATGTATATCATACTACGTACATGTGTGTGAAAAAGAGATATATAATGAACACACAACTCACTCGAGTCGATCTGCAGGGGACGAGAAGATTAAGGAAGGAAACAAAGCTACTACCCTCCTAACAATTAATACTCCCTCCATCCAAAAAAAAATCACTTCTAGATTTGATTCTGAACATAATATGCGTTTACTGTATATATATATATATATATATATATATATATATATATATATATATATATATACTCGCTCTGTTACAATGTTGGGATTCTTTGCAATCCTGTAAGGGCAACACCAATGTATATAGCTAAAGAAGTCCGTATAGATGGGACCTACATTTGTGGACTTTAACTATTGCAACATTCACAATGTATATAGTTAGTAAGTAGTAGTAGGAGGAGAGAAGAAATAGAGACAGATGATATATTTTATTCTATATGGGCAGCCCATATGTTTATGGATGACTTTTGCTATTTCTCTCCTATGGACTACTTCCACAATGTGGTTAGGTAGCTGAATGTATTATTTTATTGACTATGGACTGGTTTTGAAGTACATTGTGGATGCCCTAACAGAGGTAGTACGTGATGTGATGATACATTGATAGTGATTTAGTGAAGCGGCAGGCATGCAGCTACCAAATCTCCCCTTCTTCAATGGTTGTTCTTCCGTTGCTCACTAGCGGTGTGGCGCCCGCTCCCCTCTTCTTAGGTGCTCCTCCCTTCTTAGGCTAGGCTGCTTCCAGTCAATACTGGGGAGCTCCTTGGTTCGGTAGGGGTGGCGTGCGGAGTTGGTTTCCAGCGTCCTGTCTCGCTGGTCGTCGGCCGCGCCGTAGGTTTGCTGCAGCTGGGTTCCTATGTATGAGGTGGTCTCTGGTCGAGCTGCAGTGTGATTGACTGTTGAGGCGGAGTCGGAGCTGCTTGTCTTGCAAGCTCAGCAACGATGACCCTCAACAGACGTCCCGGCAACGCGGCGAGGGTTTGGAGGTGGAGCATTTTGAGAGAGCCTCGGCATGAAAACCTTGCCTAGTGCTATCCTAGGTTGATGATATCGATGCCTATGGGCACCGTTTACTCCTTGAAGGTATCGTCATGCTGGCTCTCTCTTCCTTTAGATGAAAACCAGGTTCCTTTCGGAATAGGCATTGACAGCATCCTTGATGTTGTTCCCTTGTTTGAGGCTTCGCTCAGAAGGTTTCTGCTCCACTAGAGGATGTTTGGTGGTTCTGGAGACCTCGTTTGCATTATGTTGTCGAAGCTGCTTGCCTTTGGTAAGCTCGGTAACGACGACTTTTGTGAGGTATCAATAGTTGCTTTCTTTTCCTTTTCTGTATAGGTTTTTGCCGGTTTCCCGTTTAATTAACCGTGCTTATTCGGTTTTCGAGCCCGGTTTTCCTTATTAACTAGGCCAACTCTCTTCTTCCATAAATTCCGGCAGTAGAAACTCCTACCGTCTGTTCCTCGAAAAAAAAAGGATATATACAAGCTCGTATATATAAAGTCGAACGACATGCGTGCAAATGCATTGTAAATTTGTAATACGGCCTTACAAACAATAGGTTAGTTGCATATATATATACATACATATATATATATATATATATATATATATATATACACACACACACATATACGAGCCCTCCTCCACCGCCTCCGCGCCCGCCAAGCCCTCCACCTCCTCGACGCCAACTCCCTCTCCCTCGCCTCCTCCGCCGCCGCCCGCTCCAACAACCCCCACCTCGCCTATTCCCTCCTCCTCTCCATGCTCCGACGCGGCCTCCTCCCCGACCGCCGCGCCTACACCGCCGCCCTCGCGCGCCTCCCTCCTTCCCGCGCCCTCCGCCTCTTCGACGCCCTCCTCCACCACCTCCGCCACCACCACAATAAAACTAATTCCCTCCCCGACACCGCCGCCTTCAACGCCGCGCTCAGCGCCTGCGCTGACGCCGGAGACTGCATCCGCTTCCGCCACCTCTTCGACCAGATGCCCGCCTGGAACGCGCCGCCTGACGCGCTCACCTACAACGTCCTCATCAAGATGTGCGCGCGCGCCGGCCGCAAGGACCTCGTCGCGCGCGTGCTCCACCGGATCCTCTCCTCTGGTCTCACCCCCTGCGCCACCACGTTCCACTCCCTCGTCGCCGCCTACGTCGGCTTCGGCGACATCCCCACGGCCGAGAGGATCGTGCAGGCCATGCGCGAAAGACGCACCGACATCTGCTTGCTGTTCCGGGCTGTCGCGGACGACCACATAATCAGCCACGACCAGCAGAGCTGTGTGCTGGAGGACATCGTCAAGCCGTGGGAACAAGACGAGGTGCCGCTGCTTCCCAAGGCTTACCCGCCCAACTCCAGGGTGTACACCACGCTCATGAAGGGGTACATGAACGCCGGGCGCGTGGAGGACGTGGTGGCCATGCTGCGCGCGATGCGGCGAGAGGGAGAGACGTCGCCAGCGAGCCGCCCCGACCACGTCACCTACACCACGGTCATCTCCACGCTGGTGGCGGCCGGGGACATGGAGCGAGCGCGCGCCGTGCTGGAGGAGATGGGGCAAGCAGGGGTGGCAGCCAGCCGCGTGACATACAACGTCCTCATCAAGGGCTACTGCCAGCAGCTGCAGGCCGGAAAGGCCAAGGAGCTCCTCGCCGTAGACATGGCTGAGGCGGGCATCCAGCCCGACGTGGTGACGTACAACACGCTGATCGACGGGTGCGTGCTGACGGACGACAGCGCGGGCGCGGTGGCGCTGTTCAACGAGATGCGCGAGCGGGGCATCGCGCCGTCGGCGGTGAGCTACACGACGCTGATGAAGGCGTTCGCGGCGTCGGGGCAGCCGAAGCTGGCGCACAAGGTGTTCGATGAAATGGAGAAGGACCCGCGGGTGGCGGTGGACAGGGCGGCGTGGAACATGCTGGTGGAGGCGTACTGCAGGCTGGGGCTGCTGGAGTCGGCGAAGAAGGTGGTGGAGAGGATGAAGGCGCGGGGAGTGCAGCCGGACGTGGCGACGTACGGGAGCCTGGCGAAGGGGATCGCGGTGGCGAGGCGGCCGGGGGAGGCGCTGCTGCTGTGGGAGGAGATAAAGGAGAAGGAGGTGGACGGGGAGGTGGTGGAGGCGCTGGCGGACGTGTGCGTGCGGGCGGCGCTGTTCAGGAAGGCGCTGGAGATGGTGGCGAGGATGGAGGAGATGGGGGTGGAGCCCAACAAGGCCAAGTACAAGAGGATGTACGTGGACCTGCACTCGCGGATGTTCACCAGCAAGCACGCGTCGCAGGCGAGGCAGGATCGGAGGCGGGAGAGGAAGCGCGCCGCGGAGGCATTCAAGTTCTGGCTCGGCCTCCCCAACTCCTACTACGCCACCGACTGGCGCCTCCAAGACGACGGCCTCAACTAACACAACACCCTACTACACTACTAATGATAATGTTAAATCTTAACACATGTTTTATGTACTACTCCTACAGTCCATGAAGCTACTTGCTTCCCTTGCTCATCTATCATATTATTAAAGAAATAGAAAAAGGAATCTCCACGTTCGCTCTCATGGCCTAGAAATTCTCACATTAATCAGAGAAAAAGAAAAAAACAAAATCCACATAGAAATACAATTTAAAAATAGCTGAAATTCGAAATTAAAAAATAAGGAATATTAGAAAAGGAGACTAGAGTCCATATAGAAATACAATTAGAAAATAATAGAAATTCGGAATTAAAAAAATAAGGAATATTAGAAGTAGAGTATAGAGTCCATATAGGAATTTAAAACTAACTAAAATTCAGAATAAACATAATAAAATGAAAAGTAGTGTTTAGAGTCCGTATAAAAATACAATTTACAAATAACTAAAATTCGAAATTAAGAAAAACATGGGAAGAAGAGTTTAAAGTCAATATAGGAATACAATTTAGAAGTAACTGAAATTTGAAATTAAAAATTAAAGGATATTGAAAGATGAGTTTAGAGTCCACATACAAATACAATTAGAAATAATAAAAATTCAGAATTGAAAAAAGAAATATTAAAAGACAAGTCTAAAGTCCATATAGGAATATATATAATTTACAAATAACTAAAATTTGATATTAAAAATAATTAATAACTAAAACGTATATAAAATACAATATGAATATTACACATTAATAGTTTCGTAAAGTTATTGCAAAATTTAAAACTATGTTGTCATTGTAATATATTTTAATAATATAATGAGAAAATATATATGTTATTATATGAGAGAAAATATAATGGTGCTAGCTGCGCAATATGCGCGGGCCACTATGCTAGTTATGTATAACTTCATAGTAAATTGTTTTTCAGCAAAAATAAACATAAACTGATAGTGATAGGGGGTAGCAACGCTGTTACCGAGGAGCCGGGACGAAATGGAACAAGAGGTTTCCCTTTATTGATTTGTTAGCCAAGCGTTTGCCTGGGACGTGGTCCGAACGATGTTCTACAAATTTGGCAACCAAATAACAGCAAAATGAGCGCAAGTAAGCGCAGTGGCAAGGCTTGTGAATGTCTCATGTACAAGGTTAGCCAATTACATGGAACAACAGGACCAACTTGTTGCGAGCAAGGCTTCGTGTTGTGCTCTGACCTCAAGACAAGTCCAAGGCCAACGATTTGATTGCTGTCAAGGGGTATCATCAGTCACTTGTTCTGACGTTCTTGGAATACTTGGTACAGTCGAATGGCCCAACATCTTGAGCTTTCCGTTTAACCTGCACGAGATCACACCATCACAAGGAATGGCTCTTCATCAATCAACCTACTTAACTTCACTTTTGTTACCATCAATGGCAACAACTGATCCTACGCAAAAAGAACCAGCGATGCATCTTCGTTTACTACATGTAATGCATAAACTGACTGACTGAAACAATAAGGCAAACGCTCTACATATGTTTGAAGAAATTTCATCCCAAACTTCTAAATTTCAGAAAGGCATACCGGTGACCATGGACTAGGTTCTGGAGCAGCTTTGTCGGTAGGAGAATTTTGCACAGCGCCCGTCTTCTGTTCCAAAACTTCCTGCCAAAACATACGTAAACTCAGGTATAGGCCTCACAGCAGAAGACTCAATCAAACTTGTACGGCGAGGTAAACTTCAGGTAAGCCGATTAGGTGGCAATTCATGTTGCATATCATAAAATTTATTTGAGGGGCATAAACCGAGCTCGACCTCTCCTAAGAACACTGGACTGGGCCCATACAAATAGAACAAAAACAAGCAGTTGTGTAAGACACACGACAACCTACTCATGTAAATTACAATCTGACAAGCTCAAAATGTCCATGATGCAAGTAAACTGACCTCTCCAAAAGCTTCCATGACAGCAAGCCATTCTTCTGTAAACGGTACCAAGTTTTTTAGATGATCTTTACTTATGGTATTTGTTCTTGATTTACCCACTGACTTAATCCTCCTGCAGAAATATAAGAATGACACGCTATCAATGCAATATATAATTGTAGATGACTAACTTTGTATATTCAAATATTCGATGCAGACATACTCTATACTTGATGCACCCTCTGAAGACGACAACTTGGTGTCAAACTCAATTGTATCTTCAGTATCTTGTTCTTCTGATAAAATAGGTCGTCTTTCCTGGGTCGAACAGTGATGTGATTCTGTTCTACCGTCAGCTGTATCTACTTTTTCAGTCAAATTGCCAGCTAGTGCCTTTTGATCTACACGAGGTGAAGGCGCTGCCAGGTTCATATGTGAACATTCTGCACTCCTGTAATCATGGTCACATTCACCCCCTACATGTAACAGGGGAGGTTCCTCCACAGTGAATGCATCATCTGTATCAAGCTCCATTTCACTATCAATATCTGGTCCTTCTGATGAAGTAAGCTGAACTTCACTACACAAAGAAGTGTTGGAGTCTAACTGGCTGTATGCTAGAGATGGTTTTATGCCTGTTGAACTATCAAACTGTGGCATTTGATCTGTACAATGTACAGACTGAACTAGCATATTCTGCTGATGGCAGGAATCGGATTTTCGCAAGGAATCTGTAGCTGAAGTGCAATTGTTGCCTTCTGATGAACAAACTGTACCAGATGTCTCTCCAGAAAGTGAATTTTCTATGTCAACTGCTGTTTCACCATTGTCAGACTTGCTTTGAGAATTGAGATCATTTGGGGTGCACCCTGGAGAAGAAATGCAAGATGTTGTCAAGTTCCTCCCCACGGTAGGTTCGCTCGAGGAGCAAATGACTTTAAGAAAGCAAGAATCCTCAGCAGGCTCAATGCTTGAGCAGCAAATAGCATTAAGATCCTGTCCGACAGACAGCGCAACACTGCACTCATTGGGCATGATATTTCTGCCACCATCATTATCTCTAAAACTCAACTCTGTAGTAGCTCCATTTCCAGCCAACGAAAAATCATCATCTGGCATTTCTTGATAATTTATATTCCCTGATTTTTCTGAGTATGGTACAGTACTTTCTGATAAGGATTGCTTCAGTGAACGAACGTTAGTATCCTCAACACCAGGTAGAGAAGAGGCCAAGACATTGGGATCACGAGTGGCAGGTTGCACAGGAAGACTGGAAGCAGCAGAGAAATTGGTTGGCAGCTGCTTTGTTAGATGGAATCTGCTTTTTGGATCCACAGGCTGTTTATACCTGGGGGGTTTTACAAGTGATGAAATATTTCCACTAAAGCACCTTTCTGGATTTCTTTGAGCATTGTCACTATGTGATACAGAAGCTTTTCCCTGAAATAATTAGTCAAAAATGAGGTATTGAGATTTTCACAAAAAAAAAACTCATGAAACATAGGCATACACTTTGTAGGATGGCCAAAGTAAAATTTCTCCAAGAATGAGAATAAAATTTTGTACCAACTCAGACATACATTTTGTAGGATGGCCATCTCTTGTTTCAAACAATTTTCGCACCACCTCATCATCCAGTAACCCACATATGCAATTATTACATACAAATCATTCACCGTTATTTTTTTAATGCGCTTTCAGGTAATTAATTTGTAACGTCTGGTTAGATGCAAGTAAACACTTAACGTGCAAGAGAAATATATTGGTACATCAAAGTAGCTGCAAAAATATCACGTTATTTTCATATCACTGAGAAAACAAGAAACAACATTAGTGAATATGTATGAAAGAGCATAATAGATCACCTGAGTGAAAAAGCCAACTGAAGGTGAAGGCATCCGGAGAGCAGATGGCTTAGCAGATATTCGTGCAGGGGCGACAACAGAACTGGAGGGGTTATCTTGTGAATATGGTGAAAAAGTTTCACATTTCCCAGAACCATTGGTTTCTTGGCAGATGGCAGTAACAGTAGGCACCTGTAGAAGTAAATAAGCATGTAACATCCTTTGTAGTTTTAAGGTTATGATGTTTTCAAATTCATTCAATATCATATATAGGGGCAAGATTTGAGATCTTGAGTGGTATCCAACAAAGTCGCAGCGATAGAATTGGCAGTGCTTCAAATAACGGAGGTGTACTAAGAGTTTCCCCTCGATTAAATGTAATTGATGCTATCACTCACCATGTTCTTCCCTATGGTAGGTCCAGAAGATTTAATTACAGATGAACGCTCAGTCTTCGATTCAAGTGGGAGCCCCTCTACTTTATGTGTACGCTCACTTGTAACTGAAAAATAGTGGCGTGCTGAATTAGTTATAGTGACATGCAAAAGTGCTGAAACCTAAGTTATATGTCAGGAAGATTTCATTGGTAGAGTTGAGGACTATGAGCAAGATTACCTGTAGCTGGCCTTGTTGTTGGTTTGGGAACATTTGTCACAGATGAGGTACTTCTACTTCTAGAGACCACAGAAGGAGAAGGTTCAGACTTCTTTGGTATCCTTTGTATTTGAGCTGTACCACTTGAGTTTGGCACTTTTTTTGGTGTATAATTAAGTTAAGACTAACAACAGCACAGTAATTAATAAGAGTGAAACTTATGAAAAGAGTATTAACCAGGCAATGGCATGATTCTGTTAAGAAAAAAAAACAAGACATATCCAATAATCCCAGAATCTCCATAAGGATATTTATATCCTGCAGGTGGTCGTGGAATGGACTTTTGGACAGCTTTTGCTGACCTTTTATCCTGTGTGCCCTGCAATTGTCCAGAAGAGAACGAGAAATTGCATGAGCTTTAATCATAAGTAAGCAAAATGCTATGTGATGAGCTGACCGCGGGTGCTTTTCGTTCATCCTGCTCAGAAGCTTTTGAGGAAGCAAACAACTTCCTTCCCTTGTTTTCTGCGCTCAAACATTTTGAAGGAAATTTTCCACGAGAATTCTCTCCGACTTCCTTGAGCACAGATGTATTGCTAGATTTTCCAAACCTAGACAATGGGGAAAAGGTAGAAGAAAATCCAGAGGCAGGGCTCCTAGTTGCCTTCACTTGGGAGCCAGTAAGCATAGAAAGCTCCGTGTTATCCAAAACGCCTGCCAGAAGCATAGAGGTTTTTCAGTTGCCGGAAGCATTTAGTAGCTGTGAAAGAAATCTTGTACCTTGTTCAGTGAAGAAAGCAGGATTCCATGCGATGCTTTTTCTGAGATTGAACCCCCCTGCAGGCTTGTTCTTCCTCTTTTTAGAGGTAGCCGCGCCTTTGCCTTCGCACGGGGTTTGGCAATCCAAGACATGGTGTCGATTTTGGGAGATATTGTTCTCTTTGTTGCCTGTCCATGAAGATATTATTAGAGAAGTAAAGCTTATTGGATACCTGGAAAATCAAAGTCCAGGGCAAACCCTAGTATGTGCAAATGCAGGGGGGGGGGGGGGGGGGGGGAGGGGGAGCTCACCGACCGGTGGCTGCAGGGATGCGGCACGGCGAGGCCATTTACATGTGGATTGACGACTGAGCGTGCCAGTGAGATTGAAGAAATTTACTTTTTGTTTGTCCTTTTTGGATACCTGGTATCACAAGAAATGGATTCGATTTCAATTTATAGTTGAATTGAGTCAAGAGGAATCGGTTTGAACTGCCATTTTTTTTACATGTTTGGTGTCCACGTGAAGTGCAAATTTTGCCTTTCTCAAACAAGAGCAAACATATTGTGTTTATCAATCTAAATCACAAGAAGATACTCCACTAGATAGAAAGGGGGCAATTATATATATAAAAAAAAGGAAAAGGACCCATAGGCATGTTGAAGCGCCTGATGTAGCGGAGAAGATGGCCGTAGTGCTTACCCACGGAGTCGTGGACGAGGGCAGTGGTGAGCGGAGATGGGGATGGATCTGGCTTGTAGCGGAGGAGGCAGGGAAGGAAGCTGCAAGGAGAGGAAGAGGAGAAGGTGGCAAGAGGAAGACGAGGAGATGGAGCAGGCGGGTGGCGGAGGAGTCGAGGACGACGCCGTCGGCGAGCGGAGGCGGCGGCGGCGACGGCGGCGATGCAGCTCAGTTGGATGGGGAATTGAAGTTGAATTTTCTGGAGAAGAAACCTCGCGTTGCCAGCGGGAAATGAAAATCTATATCGGCCGCTAATCGGTGGGCCGGCCCAGGCCCAACCAGCAGCGGTTTCTTTTTTCTTTTTGGAAAAAGTACACCAAAGGTCCCTTGTCATCCTTAGGTGGTTTTGACCCCGGTTTTATCCTATGTGGCGGGTGAGTCAGCGTGGCCCCATATGTCAAGACGCCACGTTATCATCTCTCTCCCCCTCCTCTCCCTTCCTCATCCTCCTCTCTCTCTCTGGGCAAGCCGGCCTGCGGTGGGGAGGAGGTCGGACGGCCGGCCGGCGATGCGGTGGCAACGACACGGAAGAAGGGGATGGAGGCGGCGGCGGGAGCACGGGGGAGATCGAGCGTCGACGAACGACGCCGTCGTCGTGAGGAAGGAGGAGGCAGGGGGAAGCGGGTGGCGGCGGTGGTGGTGGAGGTCGCCGCGGCGAGGGAGGAGCGGCGCACGTCCTCCTCCTCCTCGAACCTGTCGTCATCGTCCGCCATCGCCCCGCCCTGCTCCGCGCGGCCGGCTTCGCGCGAAGTGTGCGCCGATCGAAGGCGGCCACCGTGGCGTGCTGCTACTGCTCCTGCGAGAACGCGAGGTGGGGCGGCATCGCCATCATCTCGAACGACATGGGCGCCGCCACGCATAGTACGCAAGCATCGTCGGCAGGTGGCGGACCTGCGAGGAGGCGGCGTTGGGGAGGATGAAGGAGCAGTCGAGCGACGGGAGCGCGTCGATCGCATCGAGCAGCAGCGGGTCGATGAAGTCGGAGATCTCGTTCATGCCGACCCACAGCCCGTCGACGAGGAGGGTCCACCGGAACAAAGACGAATGCGCGGACGTCATCAACTCCTCTCCCGCCACGCGCCGTCCACTGCCCGCTACGGAGGCCGCCGACTCCTCTCCCGCTTGGTGCCACTATACCTGCTCATCTGGGTAAAGGCCGCCGCCGCCGCCGTCGTGGCGCCGCCCCCGCCCGGCTGCCCACGCGTTGCTCCTCCTCTCCCACCGCCCGTGCGTTGCTCATCCGCCGGCCGCTCGCCGCCCCTCCCCCGCCGTCCGCCCGCAGATCCTTCCCCCACCGCCGCCTCGTGGGCCTCGTGGGCGGCGGCCGGTGGGGGAGCCCGCGTGCCGCTCCTCCTCTCGTCGCCCACCCGCAGCTCCTCCCACCACCGCCCCCGCGTCGCCGCCCGCCGACGCCCGACGCCTCTCCCGCTTCGCACGGCCGGCATCGCAGAATAGAGAGAGATGAGAAGGGGAGAGTAGAGAGCAAAAGAAAGAGGAGGATGATGTGGTCACACTGACATGTGGGTCCATATGGGTCCTACGCTGACTCAGCCGCTACATAGGATAAAACCGGGGTCAAATAGTACTATTGAAGGATCTGAATGTTAGTTGAGGGATGTCCGTTGTCTGGTTTTGTGGTTGGGGACGATTTTGTAATTCGATGACGAAGTTGAGGGACCTTGGGTGTACTTTTTCCTTTCTTTTTTGGTTTCTGAGTCTTCTTTTTGAGAAGGAAGAAAACGGCAGAGGGAATTGAGTCGATCATGTCCGCCGCCGACGACCTCGCCGCCCTCCACCACCAGGTCTCGCTCGCCTCCTCCGCCGCCCTCTCCGCCTCCGACCACGACCTCGCCTTCCACCTCCAGCTCTCCGAGGCCATCCAGGCCTCCCTATCCTCCAATGCCGCCGCCCCATCTCACCCCGCGCCACCGCCACCGCCACCGGAGGAGCCTTCCGACGCCTCTTGCGCCCTGGCAGTCCACGCCGCCGACCTCGCGCGAGCCGAGCAGGACCACCGCGATGCCCAGGCCTGCCGCGCCTACCACGCCCGGGCCGCCGCCTCCGTCCGCGTCGCCGCGCACAACGCCCTCTTCGCGCGCGACCTCGCCGCCATCCCGGAGGACAAGTGGGCCCACGACGGCGACTACTTCGAGCGGCCCCTCCCCCTGGAAGGAGGCGGCGCGCTCTTCCGCGTGCTGTTCAAGGGCATGGCGAGCAGGGAGGTGGTGGGGCCGCGTGACCGTGACCCTGGCGTCGGGGTGCTCGCCGTCGCCATCTGCGGGCCAAGGGGGGAGGTGGTGCTCCGGATACACAAGCCCGTGCAAGCGCAGGCGCAGCAAGGGCGGATGATGCTGGAGGCGATGGCGCTGGTGGAAGGCCTCAATGCGGCGCTCGCCCTCGGCATCCGGACCCTCAACGTCCTCACTGACAACAAGCCGCTGCACAACCATGTACTGTAGTAAATCATAGGAAAAAAATACTTCTTTTTTCACCCTTTTGAGGTATATTTTTGCTCTTACATGTACCATATTTTTTTAAACTTTTTTCTTTTGTTTTTTATTTTCCTATGCGTAAGGGTAAATTGAACAAATTATATAGATTATGCATAGGAATGTGACATGGCATGTCCATGTAGCGATTTTGGTGGGACCAAGGACTATATTAGCCCACATGATAAATTTAAAGGACTTGTTTGGACAATATGAAAGATTAAGGACTAAAATGATCCAGGAGCGAAACTTTAGGGACCATATTAGCTATTCTCCCATTATTCAATTATTTTTCGTCTATCACTGGTCTTGTTATGATGTGCACTACATGATTGTTGATAGATACAATACATACAATCTGGTGTTTATTTCCTAATGCTGTTGGGAATTGGGATTGCAGATGAGTGGAATATGGCGCCCAAGACAGAAGAGGCTTGTGGATTTGATCAATGAGGCTTTCTCAGCAAAACAGAAATTTGAGCAATCTGAGATCCTGTGTGTTGCACGAACCCAAGTCAACTATGTCACAAAATTAGCAACAGATTCTCTGCATACTCAAATTGCCAAAGCTGCTGTTGTGAGTGCTGGCAAGGAGAAAAAAGAGAACTGCACCATCTGCTTGGAAGACACTGACGTCTCTAAGATTCATGCAGTTGAAGGCTGCGCGCATCGCTTTTGCTTCTCCTGCATGAAGGAGCATGTCAAAGTTAAGCTACTTCATGGGATGCTCCCAGCTTGCCCACAAGATGGTTGCACTACCAAGCTAAACTGTGGAGGGTTCAAAGATGTTCCTATCTCCACGGTTATTACCGATCATGGTGCAGCGTATCAGGGAAGCACAAATTCCTCCAACTCACAAGATTTATTGCCCATATCCCAAGTGCTCAGCCTTGATGTCCATGAGAGAACTGATACATCCAATGCAAGAATCATCCTCAAAGTACACTCTTGTTGATGCTGCCACATTGAGGAAGTGTGTCAAATGCAGTGGCTCTTTCTGCATTAGCTGTAAGGTCCCATGGCATCATCAGATGACTTGTTATGACTACAAGAGGAGGTACCGCCATGCTCGTCTAGAAGATGCCTATCTACAGAACCTTGCACAGCAGCGGTTATGGCGTCAATGTATCCGATGCAAGCACATGATTGAACTAGCAGAGGGTTGCTACCATATGACTTGCGTGTAGGTGTTTTCTCCTCAACCTTGAGTCTGCCATCCTCATATTATTATTACCTTTACTAACAATTCAACATTGATATGCCTCCAAAGTCTTTGATACTTCCTCTCATGTGCTAATGCTCAGATTCACTTGAACGTTTCATTCATCCTGTTCATGCTTGTTGCAGGTGCGGCTATGAGTTCTGCTACACCTGTGGAAAAGAATGGAAGGAGAAGAAAGCGACCTGCTCTTGTCCACTGTGGGATGAACGCAACATTATCCGTGATGATCCTCAAGGCAATGCTGCTATCCATGATGATCCTGAAGATGAATATGATGACTACTATGATGAGGACGAAAATAATTACTATGTTGGAGAAGGCCTTCAGTACAATGTGGATTACCATCGTCAGTATGATGGAGGGGACCGTCACCATGGCCACTTCTATCAATACAATCGCTAGTGTCAATGCCGTCTTCTACAGCTACTCATATCTAGTTATTAGTACAGTAGTTGAGCAGGACAATCCCCGTACTTTTCGCTTTATTTTTACCTAGCCATCCAATGTTGCTACTTCAAGGGTTCCGTTTTGTGCCAGACATTAACCTTTGCAGTTAGCTGAAGTAGACGAATGTTCTATGCTCAAGGGCTCAATCCTGGCGAGCCTGTTCAATTGCCATGCTAGTTTAATGGATATTTTCATCATAGCATGCTCAAGCTTATCGTAACAATGTCTCTGATATCTTTCTAATGTCACAAATAACTCACTGTGTGTAATTCATGGAATTGTCACCACTGAGCTAACTAATCACGAGGAGGGCTAATGAATATGTCATCAAGGCTCTGGATTACTATATGCATTCACAAGTGAATAAATGAGTTAAGTGGAAAGATTAGTACCTAATGCCATGAGAAGATAGTCAATAACATGTACCTAATGCCAACTTTCCTTTTCTCGGATCCAATCCCAAGCAGTGGGAAATTGAACTATTTGCCACTTTTAGATTGGTCAATTATCCAAATGCCCTTTTAGGTTTGCACTTTTTTTTCTCCTCTTAAAAGATGTCTTCTTAACTATTTGTCACTTTTACCTACGTGGCATTCCAACATGGCAACGGAGGGGTAGAAACTGGTGTGGGGCCCACTAGTCAGCCTCTCCTCTCTCCTCTCTTCGGTACGGCGTGGCGCCGTACCACGCCCACCACCACCGCTGTTCCACCGGCACCATCGCCGCAAGGGCCCCGTCCGCCGCCGCTACGCCTCCTCCGCCAGCTCCACCGCCGCGAGAGGCCCATCTGCTGCCACTACGCTTCCTCTTCCACCGGTGCCGCTACACCTCCTCGGCCGTTGCTTCCACCGCCGCGAGGAGCCCCTCCGCCGCCATCTCCACCGCTGCTCAGCCTTCATCGCCGCCACTCCAGCCTGACGATGCGGTCACCTTCACCGTCGCCGAGCACGACAACGCTGGCGTCGACGAGCTGGCCACGGATGACCCGAGGGAGGTTGCCAAGATTGCGCCGCTCGTGCCGGCGCTCCCGTAGGGCGGCGCGGTGCTCGCCGTGTAGGCCACCGTGTTGTTGGGGCCGGCGGCGCCGCGTAGCCTCGCCCTCGGCGTCACTGTGCACCACGCCGCCTGCGACGGCGCGAGCGCGACGCACTTCCTCCACACTTGGGTTGCCTCTGCTCCGCCGCCGGTTGGATCCTCACTAGCTGCGACAGTGCGGCACTGCGTGGGGTGGCTACGACACCCGGAGGTGGAGAAGAAGGAGAGGAGAGGGGCTGACGGGTGGGGTCCAAGTTTCTTTCCATGCAGGCACGACATGGTGGCACGCCACGTAGGAAAAAATGGCAAATAGTTAAGAAATCATCTCTCTCCAGTGGCAAATTATTAAGAACAAACTTATTAAGAGGGACATTTGGATAAGTGGCAAACCTAAAAGTGGCAAATAGTTAAATTTCCCGAGAAGCGGCGAGTGGATCAACAACAGACACACAAAAAAAACAAAACTTTTACTATCTCCGTCCCAGTTTAGTTGTCACTTTGACTTTTTCTTTGTAACGTTTGACCATTCGTTTTATTTAAAAAATTAGTATAAATATAAAAATATTGATAACAAAGCAAATCTTAAACAAAATAAATAATAATTTCATAATTTTTTGAATAAGACGAATGATCAAAAGTTACGAACAAAAACTCAAAGGGACGAGTATTTTGGGACGGAAGTAGTATCTATCACATTCTAGTACTATGGTAGTACTAGGCTTTACTTCTCGGTTTTCTTAAAAATCGACATATAGCACTCTAAAAAACGCAGATTATCAGCTGTTTCTCTACCAAATAATTTTTTCATATGCAAAGCCATGGGAAAAAAAGCAACACGCCTCTCGCTCACTTTTTAGATTGATTAAATCCAAGGGATGAAAATTGTGTGTTGCGCCAGATGGAACGATTCAGATCATCCGTGTCCAATCCCCTCCTTCCTTTTTTGCATAGTGGAGTAATGCGGATCGGGATTTGGGAGTAACCCTATGTTTGGTCTATTTCCCAACTTTTTCTTTAAACTTCTAACTTTTTCATTACATAAAAACTTTCATACACACATAAACTTCTAACTTTTTTATCATATCGTTCTAATTTCAACCAAACTTCCAATTTTGGCGTGAACTAAACACACCCCTAGTTAACATCCTGTGGCGACGGAGGGGGAAAAAAATAATAGGAGATGGGCAGCAGCGCCAAGCTTCCTTTGGTGGATATTGGGGAGGAGGAGGAGGCGTTGGTGTTTGAAGATGAGGAGAAGACCGAGCTGATTAGGGTGCAAGACTTCCGTCGCGTCTGGGAACATCGCTTTAACAGCTAAGGGCATCCACAATGCTATTATTTGGTAATAAGTAATGCTACTACTTAACTGCAGCAACTGTATGTCCCATGCGTTATACGGAGGGACCTATCCCAAGATATGCTCGCCCCGACGATGCCTTGCAGATCCTCTCTCTCCAAGTGATAGAAGCAAAAGATGGTCTTAACTGGCCGCTACATGTCTATGGCTTGGTTGCCACCAGGGATTCTGTAGATCAAAAGCGCAACCTTCTTTTCAAGCGCACAAGGGATAATTGTTAACTTCTGACTCCACAGGTTAGATATCTTGTAATTTCCTCTTAACTTTATTGTTTCTCATTTTTCTTGGAGCTTGAAGTCCTCAACCTACTACAATTTCTACTAGTAGATTACTACTGTTATATACACTAGTTTGTATAAATGTGTTCTCTTTTTGGAGATTTAGTGCATTCACAGGCTGGTTGCACCTAAACTGTCAATTGGAGGCATGTTTACAACTCTTCTTTGCACATAACTCATTGGTACAAACTGAATTGATAGAATCGGCACCACTGGTATACCTATACTTCTTTTAAAAGAAGGCAATTGTGGTGTTCGCAGTGAATCTTCCTATTGCAGCTTTATATAAATTGATAATGTTACCAACAAACAAATATAATAGGATTGCCACATATATAACCAAGATGGGCACTCCCTGTTGAAAATAAATGAATAACATATTGCGTGCAAAACATAGATTAATTTTGTTTATGTTAGGCAATATTTTGTCATTCTTTCTTCCTTTGGTAGCAAAGTCAGGCATTTACCTAGTCTATGGAAATAAAAGATTGTGATGGACACTATATGCTCTTCAACTGAACTTAATATGGATTGGTTGCATACTGGTTCCTTTTTATGCGGAAGGAACTAACAAATCAACTGATCAATTGGTTGTGATGCCTGCAGGATTCATATTTGCAGTTAACAGGTCCATCTCGTGCAGTTTTGTTAATTGATCCAGTTACTTTTGAAGTTGACCTAAAAGTAAAGGGCAAAACAGAGACCGGTGACAAAGTGTTGAGCTTGAGGGTCTTTACGCACCACATGGCTCCCTCATATGTAAAGTATTCTCCCATGATCCGCAGATGTTTGTCCAGCAAGCATAGTGAGCTTGAGTTGGCATATGTTGTACTCGCTGATACAGTTGAAGCCACTATGGTTAGTGTCCAAGTTATTGAGGGGTCATGGCCAGATCATATGCGAGGACTAGTCGTTTGCCGTACCGCCAGCGTAGAGGGAGGGGATTCCGTGTTGCTTGATTCTCGAGATGGAAGAATGCCTATCAATTGAGCTTTCAAGGCATGTGGTTTCTGTGGAATCAAGGGGAAAGCTGGCTGTTGACGTGGTGGCCTCGCAAGCCGACAAGAGTTCAAATATCGTTTCGAGAGGCAGGGTTGTTTTCACTCCTGAAAAGGCTGGGAGTAGTAGTGGTGTATTCAATCTTGGGTTTTGTAAGGTGGAAGCTCGTGTTTGTTGGTCGCTCCTGGCAACAGAGAAGCAAATGCGCTCCGGTCGTTGATCAACACAGTACACCAGAATTTTGACTTCTTGCTTGTACTGTTTGACCATTCGTCTTATTCAAAAAAATTTAGAATTATTATTTATTTTATTTGTAACTTACTTTATTATCCAAGATACTTTAAGCACAACTTTTCATTTTTTATATTTGCACAAATTTTTTGAATAAGACAAATGGTCAAACAATGAAAGCAAAAATCAACCCCTTATATTATGGGACAGAGGGAGTATATGGAAGCAAGACGTTGAACTATGCTGTCATGTATCTGCCTATAATTTATACCTCATTGTATGTTAAAGACGGTTGCAGCTAGTATGTTAATTAAAATACCATGATGCTTGTAGGTGAACTATTATTCTAAGGCAAAAATAAATGTAGACAGGTATTGCATCACAGATTAGCTACTAATAGCTCCTATACAAAGCAATGCGATCACTTAACCAAAAATAGGTGGAGCACAAATCCTTCAGCAACATCCCCTAAAATATTCGTTCAGATTAGCTACTAATAACTCCTATGCAAGACATTGTAAATGCTCAACCAAAAAAAAAACATGGAGCACAAATCCTTCAGCAACATCCTCAAAAATATTTCATTCATATGAGCTATTAGCTCAGGTTTACAGTCACGTGACGATGAATGTCTGGTCTGCTTGGTTTTAACTTGTAATTACACCACATACATGTTGATATGATCAGCATGCAGTTATCACATGAAAGGGCACCAGCATAGCTAACGATTTCTAAATCATCACATGAACAGGTGAAAAGTAGTAAACTGCAAGATATAGATTACACAATCACATAGAGTCAATGTCTGTCTTCAATCTTCTACAGCTACTAATATCTACTCCCTCCGTTTCAGGTTATAAGATATTCTAACTTTGGTTAAAGTCAAACTGTTTCAATTTTGACTAAGTTTGTAGGCAAATATAGTAATATTTACAATACGAAATTAGTTTCATTAAATCAATAATTGAATATATTTTCATAATAAATTTATCTTGGATTGAAAATGTTACTACTTTTTTTACAAACTTGGTCAAACTTAAAGCAGTTTGACTTTAACCAAAGTCAAAACATCTTATTTTTACCTAGCCATCCAATATTGCTACATGCTACTTCATGGGATCCTTTTTGCCAGACATCAACCTTTGCAGTTAGCTGAAGTTGAAGGGCTCAATCCTGGCGAGCCTGTTCAATTGCCATGCTAGTTTAATGGATATTTTCGTCATAACATGCTCATGCTTATCGTAACAATGCTGTCTCTGATATCTTTTTAACATCTCAAATAACTCTCAGTGTGTAACTCATGGACTTGTCACAACTGAGCTAACTAATCACGAGGAGGGTTAATAAACATGTCATCAAGGCTCTGGATTACTAAAGAAATAACAACAGATGAAGTGAACTGTGCAAGAAAGGGCAGCACGTCTACTCCTGTAGTTCTGTCATCTACTATACAGTGGTATAATAAAGGCCTATGGTAATGGGAATTCGACAAATTTCCCTCTGTTGGGGAGGATGTGAAGGATATAAAAGGACCTAACATTTGGTACATGTATCACGAAGGCAATGCCAAAAAATGGTTCTAATTCTTTGCAACAAGGGCAAAAACATTTCTGTTGCATGGCTTGTCCTTTCTTTACACCATATAGAGTAACCAGGTGAATTTGGATCTGTCATCCTCTGGAACCCACTGTGGTTCTCTTCTCATGTACAGAGTCTGTGGAGTCACTCTCAGTTTGGATCATTGCTTTCTTGGCGAGCTCATAGCCTGCAAAGTTCATTGCTCCGAGAGGAGCAATCCAGAAGAAGCGGGGGATCGCACCCTTGAACAGTCCGAGAGGTCCCTCATTTCGAAGGATGGAGAAAACTATCAACTGCATGGAGACTGGGGTGCCTGGTGGAGCAGTCATCATCCGAGTCTTCATCACATCAAAGGGAGTTGTGACAACTGCTGCAAGCCCTCCAGACAACGCTCCCACTGCAATAGTTTCCCATGGTTCCAAGTCTCTGTTCAACACATGCTGTGCCGCCTACAATAACAAGAGCATATGACATGATCATTAAATTCGTCAAGGCACGGCATAGTTCTGAATCTAATGGCATTGCAACAGAACTAGATATTATACAGATCTCAGTCCATTAAAAGAAAAGGTTCAGCAACTTCCCCGTAACTATATTTTTGTATTTTGTATATCCAGTCGAACAAAATTAAACTTCTTAAGAAAAATAGTGATCTGAGAAAAAGAATAGATGCAGAAGAAAACAAAACAACCTTACTGCGGGCAATCTTCGAGGAAAATAAAACAAGAAAAAATAATTCAGTCCAAGGACATCATTGATAGGCAGGTGGATAGAAGTAAAACTCCATTGACATGCCATTTCAGATGCATGAAATTCAAATATGCAGAACAGATAATAAGCTTTACATTAAACAAAGGCAGCTCACTGCAGACCTTTCAGTCAACAAAATATAGATGAAAGAAAACCAATTTTAAGGTACAGTCCAAAGAAACAATAAGAACTCACAATACCTTTTTAGCTTCTGCATAAAGACACATTCCAGCAACATAGAAAGGAACCTCTCGGCAAAGAGTGGCTCCAGTGCCTCGGAAGAAGCCCTTTGGACCATCTTTTTGCATGGTACCAACAATGGCCTCCCCTACATTATTGAAGATTCCAGCCTGCAAACGCTGCTTAAGAACCTCACAAGGTATACGGACTGCTGTTCCCAGGATGGTGCTGCAGAAGGAAGAGAGTGATTGCACCTGTGAAACAAACATGTCTATCATCAGATTTTCATATAAGCAACATTTTCTCAGCCAATATACTAGGTCAAAAAAATTTAAGTTCATTGAGGCAGACAAGTTTCATGGTGACTAGACTCAGCTCTCAATTTTCTGAGAATAATTAGCTCTTGATGAACTAAGGTTGGTCAAAAGCCATAACTAATGTAGCAGAGGGCTTGACACAGGTTACATTTTCTGTTGTTGAGACTGACAAGGTGGGTATGGGATTCCACATACCCATGCCAATGACACAGTGAGTAGCACATGCAAAATTTTGCACAAGGAATAGGAAAGCACACCTGAATATCTGGAAGTGTTGGAGCAACACTTTTTAACACAAGCTTGCTTGCCTCAAATATTCCTGTTCTCAAACCATGGCTGCAAATGGCAGGATGTGAATTTGCAGCCTACATTCAAATTTGCCTCTAAAACTCTGAATTGACACTAACCTTGAAAACTGACCAAGAATTGCGGGGATAGAACCCCGATAAAGTCCTCGGAGCCCAATTTGTGGAAGTGTTGATATGAGATCTGGAAATGAAAGCGAAGATGCTTGGACACGTGTCTGATACAGTTTAGAAAATAAAGAGCTTGAATCAGAAATATCCATAAAACTGTTGAATTTCTCAAGCAAAAAAAAATCCATTAGCACAAAATCTAGCAAGTAAATTGATTATCGACTTTCTAAAAAAAGTAAGGCAAGTCCATTGCAGGTAATGCCTTGAGTGAAGGGAGATCATTCATAGAGGAAAAACTGAAAAAAGAAATAGTAGAAATAAAAAGCTCCTGCCAGTAGTATGCTTTGTATAAATTTCTATTTGATTGCATCCCATGATATTCCCATGGAACCTGCTAGAAGCAGATGGGGTTTGTCATAATTATCTAAATTTTAGTGTGTTGGATTTTATTCGCTCTGTCATTAAGACATCCTCTTCTAACAAATGCCATCAAGTGAACGCACTGCTGAATCAGTGCTATCGGTTAAGTTGTTTGCACTAAAAGGGTTAAAAGGTAACAAGTTTGTGTACCTTCATTGAATCAATGGGATGCATCACGGAAGTAGAAAGTGCACTAGCAAGACCTCCAGCTAAAGCAGACTTCAGAACACTCCCAGCTGATATCTCTACCGGTGGGGGAACAGCAACCAAAGTAGCAGCTTCAAACCAAATGTTCCTAAATGCATTCGCAAGTGAATAAATGAGTTAAGTGGAAAGGTTAGTATTTAATGCCATGAGAAGATGGCCAAGAACATGTTATTATTTTTCATGACTGGTCAGATATTCGATTTAGATGAAGGAAAGGGTTTGTGTAATGGTTCAAAGATGCAAACATGGATTCTAACGCAAGACATCAACATACCGAGGGTCATCTTCAAGGCGCTCTGAAGGAAGCAGGAGCATGAAATTGCGAAAATGGCTGTAGGAGATTGATTCTTCTGAATCCGCATTTAGGTACCGCAGCATGGCAGCAGCATTATCTTCATTGGCCGGAAGGCCTGCACCTTTTAAAGATGTGAGAATTTGATTTTTGTGAAGTGTCCCAGACTTGCTCAAACATAGGGTGGTGTATGCCCGCAATATTGTTGGCTCCTTCTGCTCCATCAAGGATAGAAATTGTTTCCACCCAATTGATTTTGAAAACAAGTTACTTCTGGTGCGCCGTAAAAAATCCCGAGCATACCTCCTTGGCAATCGCCTCTTTCTCATTGCAACTTCAAGGTCTTCCAGGGTGACTTGGCCATCACCATCTCTATCCAACTCCTCAAAGAATCGCTTTCCTGCAGAAGCAAGAAAAAAGAGCTTAGGATAACAACATGCAAGAATCACCTCTATCCATTTCCAATAGAACAATAAAGTAACATTATCAGAAATAATATTTCAGCGATATCAATGTCAGACCAACATCATCAAGCCAATCTTTGGAGCGCTAGTTATCTGTACATAATTGTAAACCATTTAACACAATAAAGATCCATCGGGAATTTGTCTTATGCATATTCTGAATATGAAGAGTCTGAAGTAGTGAATATGAACACATAAAAGAAATAAGATACTATGATCATGTTGTACAGGAAGTAGTATGGTTGAGAGCTGCTAATATTTAAGTAACATGCAACACGCATTTTCTCAGTAAAACCAGAAAAATACTGAGTAACAGAAAACACCTTACAATAAATCTGCATACTTGAAGAAAACCAATATGAATAGCTTTGAAAGAAAATTGGAGGCATGCCAAAGAAACTAAATTCAGCATTTATGGTACAGTTGTTACAATTGGTGACCATCTGATTAGCATCACAATGTTATCATCTTATTAGATGTCATGAGACAACAATAATATTGTTCAAACTGAGGTATAGCTTTGCTAAAAGGTACTCCAGGTCTAGAGAGTCAAAAGGGAAAGGATATAAATCAACTTTAGGCCAGTATTGATTAACAAACGATGTTACAGTGCATAAGGCATTTTTGGTGATGGCAGAATATGACGGACAGGTTGGATGATGATGATGGTATGTACCTTCAAACTCCGCATATCTGAAGAAGTCGTGTACAGAGAAGAGCTTCTTCTTGTCTGGATGAGTATCAGGGGATGGCAAGGACCTGGCAACCAGGTCAATCAAGTCGGTGAGTGAAAGCGTGGAAAGTGTGGAGCGTAGGCGGTCCACAGGGATGTTGAGCAGGCGAACAGGCAGTGTCGACCGTGGAGAGTGATTAGCAGCAGTGTCAGTGTCTTCCTTGTCCCCAGTTTGAGCTGGAGTTGGAGGTGCAGGGGAGACAGACGCAGACGGTTGAGGCGGTGGGGCAACCTTAAGCTTGGCAAAAGGCAGGTTGGAGAGGAAGGCATCAAAATGGGGCTTGTTTGCATGGATGAGTAGGGTGTGGAAGTGGTGGAGAAGATGGTTGTCCAGCAGGTTATGGAAGGCAATGCCAATGCAGAGAAGGAGCTGGTGCGGTGGTGGACCTGGTGGTGGTGGTGGTGGGTGTTTGGTTCGGCGGAAGCATGCCCTAGTTGTGAAGGGGGGGGATCTGTGGATGAAATGAGCTACTCCAACTCCAAGAAGATGGAGGTCATCAGAGTAGTGGGGCTTGGGATTGGATCCGGGAAAGGGAAGGTGGAGGTGGGAAAGGGCGGCGCGGGCGGCGGCGAGGAGGGCGTCCAAGAGATGGTCGGAGCCGGACATGCTCGTCTCGTCAATCAAAAACAAAAGACAAGCTAGAGGATTTGACGATCGAGGTGGTGGTGGTGGAGGATCCGTCACGGCATCGCTACTGCTACTGGCCTACTGCTAAGCTAAGCTTTTGATGATTATATAGGAGGAGGAGGAGGATTTACGGCGGAGCGGAGCCGGAGGAGGAAGAAGAAGAGGCGACAAGGAAACGAGTACGGGAGGTCGAGAAGCTGCGACCCCATCAGCAACACCAATAATAAGCAGCGCTCAAAATAAATGAGAAAAAAAGGAAGCACTACACTATACTCCTATATACTAAAATAATAAATAAATAAATAAATCCAACCCACCCTACCCAAAAAAAGGGTAAATTTCATAAAACTACATATATTTTGCACAATCTATCACAAAATTACATATTTAAGAAATTGTTTCACAAAACTACATACTTAGTGTCTTCGTTTATCAGTACTTTGCACAATATATCACAAAACTACATATTTAAGAAATTGTTTCACAAAACTACATATTTAGTGTCTTCGTTTATCACAAAACTACAGGTACTTTGCACAATATATCATAAAACTACAAATTAAAGAACTTATTTCACAAAAATAGAGATTTAATATCTTCATTTATCACAAAACTACATATTTAGTGTCTCCATTATCATAAAACTACATATTTTAGCATTATTAAAACCTGTAGTTTTGTGATAATGGAGACACTGAATATGTAGTTTTGTGATAAATGAAGACACTGAATGTGTAGTTCTATAATAAACGAATACATTGAATTTATAGTTCTCTGAAATAAGTTCTTAAATATGTACTTTTGTGATAGATTGTACCAAGTACGTGTAGTTTTGTGAAACAAGCTCTTAAATCTGTAGTTTTGTAATAAATTGTGCAAAATATATGTAGTTTTGTGAAATTTACTCTTTCAAAAAATACAAATACTTTGACTAAATTATCACAAAACTACATATTTTAGGGTGATACTATCGCAAAACTACATATTTAACACTAAATTTCTCACAGAATTACAGATTTAAGGTGGAGTATCGTAAAACTAAATATTTAGTAATAAAATTGTCATAAAACTACATATTTTCCTATCCTTCAAAATTCCTATGATTTTCCTATAGGAAAAAATCCTGTAGGAATGAAATCCTTCAGAATTCTGAAATATGTAGTTTTGTGATAACTTTGTTATTAAATTATGTAAAACCCTATTAACAATGAAATTTGGTAAGCCTCGAGGTCATCATCGGCTTAGAGTCGGTATCGGCTTTAGAGTCATGTAATCGGCTGATGGAAATTATCAAGTCGTCAATAGTTAGATTCTTACTATATTGGGTTAAGGAAATTAATCAATTAAAGGAAGTTTATCTAGAAGAGACCGAGTTCAAGGAGGATACGGCATGGCACTTTATCTATTAATTATGAAGAGTTTATTAGTTTCCTTTTATCTTTAGGAAAATATGTTTAGTGTCCCATAAAGACTTTATGTTTTCGTTTTATCTCTAGGAAAGTTTCTTTCCTGTCCAACGAGGACTATTGTACACTCGAGGGTTATTGTAAACTATCTACCCATGGGTATAAATATGTACACTCGGGGTTACTGTAAACTATCTCCACGATCAATAAAAATTCGGCGCATCGCTGTCCTTTTTTTTTTACTTTTTCGACGAGTTTATACTTATCATGGCTGTTGCATCGGCGGAGCTAGGGCTTTGACACTCTGATCTTGTCAATGTAAGCACCTATCTATCATCTATCTTAGTTAATCTAGTTGCTAGTTCAATTTACTTGTATCAGTTAAGATTCATTTTAGGGTTTATACCGGTATTGGTTAAATTGCTTTACCAGACTAGATTAGCTAAGGTATCTACCACCTTGAAAATCAGTCAAGAGTTTAATTGTCTAGATATTATGGATATTATGTTTCTTTTCATACTTTGCGCTGCAGCAACCCTAGTCGTGCTTAGAACTATAACCTCTAACCTGCTTATTAATTGCCAAAAAGGGTTTCATCGGGGTTTTCAGCTGATGAGTTATCTATACGTTGCATCGGCTTATAAAGATTACATACAAATTGGATTTTACCGATCGCAACAAAGGTTTCACTCTTTATCTAATCTTGTGGATTTAGTGACATTGGACCTCCAGCTGATGTATGCTTTAACCTTCGGATCAATGCTTATTCTATTATATTTGTTAGCCGATTGGTTTCTACTGGATTATTATTGACGACCAAATTTGGTAAGATATGAACAAGGTTCGACATTGGAATTGAGGTGGATTCGGCAAAGAGATGGATTCGAAGAACAAATTATGCATCGGCTGCGAAGGCATTGGCTAGAGTCTGCATCGGCTGACTAGACCTCACCACACATCAACCCCTTGCAACCATTTCAATCACCACACATCAATCCGACAAAGCCCTAACCATCACCACACATCATTCCAAAATATAGGTTCTCAATTCTATAAATCAACATGAACCAAATGGAGCAAAGATTAATATGTCTCTTCCGCACTACATCCCCACCCACATTATCCAATTAACATCCCAATCCGAGCCAAATATTATCAAACTACGGTTGGAACCAAAACAATGCGAAATATCCAATAAAACATGGGGGAAATTAGGGTTTCTAGAGGAGTTTACCTTCTCAATCGATCCCCAACTCAATCCCGACGAAATCCCCTTCGATTTGAGTGGATTTGGGGGAGATTTGGTGAGAGGAGAAGAGAGGACGACGAACCCTAACGCAACCACAGTGGGGAAGAAGAGAGGAGAGGCTGGCTGGGACGGCCTCGGCCGGCCTCTAAGTACCCAACCTCAGCGCCAGGCCCGTTGGCGCTGAAGTTTGGCATCTCAGCGCTGGGGCGGTTGGCGCTGAGAATGGCCAGCTTAGCGCCGATGCGGTTGGTGCTGAGATAGCTGCCACGTCAGCTGGGGGATCGGCCTTGCCGCCACGGTGGCACGAGGTCAGCGCCAGACCCGTTGGCGCTGACACACCCAACCTCAGCGCCAATGCGCTTGGCCCTGAGCCAACGGTCTATTTTTGGTTAAAGTTTTTGGTAAGGGTTAGTTTCGAAATAAGTTTTTGAAAAGGGTCAATTTGCCAAAAAAAAAAGGGGAAGGTTCTTTGGGTAAGTTCGGAAGAGGATACTTGCACGCAAAAATCCCTAAAGGGAGGGTTTTTATGAAATTTGTACCACCTACTTTTTGCAGAGTAAATATACACTAAGTAATAAAAGGGGGAAGGTGCGGATTGGGATTTTTGGGAGGGGAGGAGAGGAACCCTAATCCTGTGGCGGCAAGCGGGCGGCGGAGGTGGAAAAGAATTAGGAGTCGGAGAGGAAGATGGCCAGCAACATCAAGCTTCCTTTGGCCGATGGGGAGGAGCGCTTGTCCTGTTGCGGCGAGCTGTTGGCCATGGGGAAAAAGTTGGAGGAAGCGGTGACGATCAGCGGCAAGCTTCCTTTGGAGGAGGGGATGGGGAAGGGGAAGCGGCGTCCAGTGGTGGCGGAGCTTGAAGATGAAGAGGAGTTTAAAGATGAGGAGTTGACTGAGCAGATAATTGCGCGAGACTTCCGTGTCAGCTGGGAACATCGCTTTAGCCCTCGCTATTCCTTCCACGACACCAGTAAGCCCTTTAATTTCCTTTCTAGTTTCTTTCAACTTCTTCCTCCGCAATCAACAAGTACTAGGGATTGTTTCTGCAAATCTATCTATCTATGCCCTTTAATCATGTTCCGTATCGCCATTATATTTTACACACACACACACACACCCCATTAGCTCGGATTCTGGCCGGTTCGTGTTCTATTAACATCTTGTTTTCTTTTATTTTGGGGTCAACAGATTGGCATTTAGTATGTGAAACAAGTGTTAGCGTTTCCTAATTACACTCAATAAACCCATTACAGCACAAATCCTGTCAACCACATCATGATACTAGGGAAAAAAAACAAATTTGGACCAGACCCGATAGATTATCTGGCTATGTGCCCTCTTGATGGGGTATAGATTGTCCAGGCGGCATAAAGCCAGTGCTTGGCAACGACAAGGTGGACTAGTTTTGCCCCCTTCCTTTGCTCATGACGGAGGGAGGAGCTTTTGCGGTTGCTAGTGTCAATGAGAGGGCTTGGAGGTGGAAAGGCGGGCAATCTCTGCATCCCCCGATGTTTCAAGCAACGAGGAAAAACTTGAAGCTAGTCTTCTAATATTTTCTTTTTGGTTGTTTGTTTTTCTGTGTATCTCGGTTATGAGATGTGGAGTGTATGGACTTGTTTATCCTTTGGCCGTATGTCTGAGCAATTAGAGTCTGGATTGCTGCTATCCATTAGACCATTATCTAAAAAAAGTGCCCTCTTGATAATATCGACCAATTCTATTTCTTATATATGTTGGCACAAAAGCGTGTCAAATAATCCGTATCAGTAGGAACCAATTTGTTTTTTCTTCACTTAGCACCATGAATGAACTCTGGCAGAATTAAAGTGGATTATCAACTTAACGGTCTTTTCTTTTTCTTTATTTCTTGCTTTTCTTTTCTTGCCACTACTTGTCTGAGCAATAACCTAATTTCATGTCTGTTTATCTTACTCCTCATTCTCAGCAAGATTAATGTCTATATGTGTGTTTAACTAAAATTGGATTTGAGTCGAACATGGGACATAACAGTATATAACGGACATGGTGCAATCAGCATCCACACTGCTATTATTTGATAACAAATATTTCTACTACTTGACTGCAGCAACCGTATCTCCCATGCGCTATACAGAGGGACCTATCCCAAGATATGCTTGCTGCTGTGATGCTTTGCAGATCTTCTCTCTCCAAGTGAAAGAAGCAAAAGATGGTCTTGACTGGCCGCTACATGTGTATGGCTTGGTTGCCACCAGGGACTCTGTAGATCAAAGGCATAACCTTCTTTTCAAGCGCACAAGGGATAATTGTCAGATTCTCACTCCACAGGTATGTCTTGTAATTTCTTTGTACCTTTTGCTGTTTTCTCATTTTTCTTGGAGCTTGAAGTGCTCAACCTATTCTACTAGTAGTAGATTACTACTGTTCTGTACACTTGTTTGTATAAATGTGTTGTCTTTTTGGAGTTATTAGTGCATTCGTAGGCTGGTTGCACCTAAACTGTCAATTGAAGGCATGTTTGCAGTTCTTTTTCCTTATCACTCTTATTTGCACAGAATTAATTGGTACAAACTGAGTTGATAGAACTGGCACCACTATGACCTATACCTATACTCCTTTTGAAATAATCCATTCGTGGTGTTGGCAGTGAATCTGCTATGTCACCTCTTCCTAACGCAGTTTTCTATAAATTGACCTCTGATGTTAGTTAATATTACCAACAGCCAAACATAACAGGATTGCCACATATATAACCAAGATGAGTACTCCCTGTTGCAAATAAACGAATAGCATATTGTATGCAAAACATAAATTAGGTTTGTTTATTCTAGTCAATATCATGGCATACTTTCTTTTATTGGTAGCAAAGCTCTTGCATTTACCTAGTCGATGGAAATAGAAGTTTGTGATGGACATTGTATGCTCTTCAACTGACCTTAATATGGCCTCGTAGGAAATACCTGTTTCTTTAATATGGATTGGTTGCATACTGGTTCCTTGTTATGCGGGAGGAACCAAGTTTCAGTAATAATCAATTGGTTGTGATGCCTGCAGGATTCACACCTGCTGTTAACAGGCCCATCTCGTGCAGTTGTGGTAATTGATCCAGTAACGTTTGAAGTTGAACTAAAAGTAAGGGGAAAAACAGAGGCTGAGGATAAAGTGTTGAGCCTGACGGTCTTTATGCACCACACGGCTTACCCATAAACGAAGCATACTTACATGATCCGTAGATGTTTGTCCAGCAAACATGGCGAGCTTGAGTTGACATATGCTGCACTTGTTGGAACAGTTGAAGCCACTATGGTGAGTTTCCAAGTTACCGAGGGGTCATGGCCAGATCATCTGCGAGGAGTAGTCGTTTGCAAAACTGCCAGCGTAGAGGGAGGGGATATTGTGCTGCTTGATTCTCGGGATGGAAAAATGCCTATCAATTGCAATGGTGCCATTGAGCTTTCAAGGCGTGTGGTTTCTGCGGAATTAGGGGGAGAGCTGAGTGTTGATTTGGTGGCCTTGCAAGCCAACAATAGTTCAGAAATCGTCTCAAGAGGCAGGGTTGTTTTCACACCTGACGAGGCTGGGAGGAGCAGTGGTGTATTCGATCTTGTGTTTTGTAAGGTGGAAGCTACTGTTTGTTGGTCGCTCCTCGCAACCCTTGGGCAAATGCTCTCGGGCAACCCTTGGGCATAATGCTCCTGGCAGCAGACGTTGAACAATGCTGTCATGATCTATTTGCCTATAATTTCTGCCTAATTGTATTAAGACGGTGAATCTGTGTAGTCGAGTTGCAGCTAGTGTGTTAATCTGTCTGAATATTTCCAAGGGTGTTTCCTTCCTTTTGGTTGGTATTTAGCATCATGTTATGAGGGATCTGATCAATGTTATTCTGTCTGTCCTTGCTTGAGATGTTAATGCGATACTCGTTTGTAAATGATGATGGTTGATCTTATATGGAGTAGAAACCGCGGCTGCCTCTCTACTCCTAGTTGAGTAGTAGTAGTAGTATTAGTTATTTTGTGCTGCTGCATGTTAGTCTTTGATGATGATAAGGGGAGTAGTAGCTAATGGTGTTGATAATAGAGAAGAAATAGTAGTAACGTTTGGGTTCGGTTGGGAGCTGGAGTATATCCGTGGTGGTGTTTGGGGTGTGGTATTAGTATCTCTACGGTATTCACCTATTCTTATTCGTCTCTTGTCTCCTTTCTGTTTTTATGAAATGAAAAAATCTACTCGTGTATCGCTGTATAGGAGGTGGGCTTGGAAATGATATAATGGGCCGTATGACGGCCCGCGGCCCGTCATATCTTGTTTTGTCTGCACATGCTCTCGCTCTCCGTTTTCTGGTTTCCGAGGCAAAACCAACCGGACAGAGCAGAGCAAAGCAGAGGAAGAGCAGAGCAGAGCAGGGGTTTTTCATTTGCAGTGCACACCTCTCTCTCTCTCTCTCTCGGCGTTCATCAGTTCCATCTCCTTCTCCGATCGATCGCGAGGCCATGGCGGACCAGCAGGAGGCGCTGGCGGTGGCGCGGAGGATGGCAGAGCAACGGGTGCGGTTGCACCTGCAGCGGAGCATGGGTGTAAGGGTTCTCCTCCTCTTTTTCTTCATCTTCTCCTCCCCCTCCTCCTCGTTTCAAGGGTTTTCTTCTTCCTCCTCCCGTACCTGTTCGTGTTTCTGCTGGCGCCCATGCTTCGATTTTGAGCCCCTCCAAAGCCAAAGATCCAACTTTTACGTCCGGCATAGCCAGGATCTATGGTTTTGACAACCTTTTTCGCCTCTTTATATATACACCCGCACCGCGCTAGGGAGGGATCTTTGTGTTGAGATATTTATCAGTTGGTCTAGCCACAATATTGCATTGCATGGGTATTCTCGTTTTTGGATTTGAAAAGAAAAAGAGCAATCTTTAATTCCGTATGCATGTTTGGTATCCACTTGAGAATCCGCCATGGACGTACGGTCATGTTGGAGGTACTCCACTCCAAGGCGAGAGAGAGAGAGAGAGCTTGCTTTGTATTGGGCCGATTGTTGTTTAATTTCAATCAGGTTGGTTGGTGGGCTGGTTGGATGAGACAGATCAAGGCCAGGGCCCAAGGAGCACACCTAGCTTAGCTTGATGATATATATGGTCACAAGGATCGATCGATCTTTAATTTGTGTGGTTTGTTTGCTGGCTTTGCCAAGAGCATATACTCCATCTATTAGATTGATTGAGCACACCACGTCTTGTATGTAGTAAAATTTTACAGTTTTCGATTACCTTGGTTGGGAATTGGAGTAATGTAAAATTAATCTTTGTTTACTGGAGTAGCGCTACGCTGATGCATTGATTGTTTGTTTTAGCATGCAATTAATTCCGAATTATTTATTAATGGTGACCGATCGATCGATCATGGGATGCAGGATATTAACAAGCATCGCTATAGGATCTCAATCGACGCGGGCAGGGAAGAGTTCCTAGGATTGATGAAGAAGAGGCATCCACTACCGTCGACGGCATGCTCGTCACCCCACCTGACCTCAAGCTTGCAATCCCGGCCGGCGAATTTGGTCGTCCCGAGGATAGGCAGACCTTCCACATCGTTGAATTGGAGAATCCACAAGATCCTACTAGTATGTACGTGCAGCTCCTCTTCCGCGAGACAGATTTGTATTTCGTGGCCTTCCGACCGCTTGCTCCGGGTGTTAACCCAGACAGCGCAAACGGTTGGTTCCATTTCAAGCAAGCAGAGCCTATCATACCATCCTTCCTCAACTCCCACCAAATCAACTATGGTTACGGCTACATTAATGCGTACGTACTTCATTCCTTTATTAATTAATTTTGGCTCATGCATACTGCTGCTTCTGCTTCTTATGTCAATTGATGATCGATCTAGTCCAGTACTGTAACTAATTTGGAGTACTACACTACTTACATAAGTATATATATATATGTGCTATACCTGTATCTGACTGTATGTATGTATGCATGCATGCAGTACAAACTACCAAGTCGGCACTGGCTGCCTAAGTGACATCTACTTTTGCCTGCGTGAGTTCACTCCTGCAAATGCTAGGCTTCAAAGTCAACAGAGGAGGAGAGTACTGATGGTTTGCGGCCTTATGCTGTCCGAGACGCAGCGATTCATGCAGATGAAGAGGGAGGTGATCGAGAATATCCATTCAAACAATGGTGAACGTCAAGACATTACTCATCTCGATGGGCTGATTCATGATTGGGGTGTTGAGAGCAATCGACGCGTAGCTGCTGCTGACCATCAACATCAACATGGCGGCGGCGAGGCTCCAGCAGCAGCAGCAGCTCCAGGCCAGGTAGTGGACTATGGCCTGTGGGTGTTGAAGTACAACCCTTACTACGTTCTTCCGCTCATCAGGCGCCAGCTGCAGCAACACCCACAGCCGCCGCTCACGCGGCGTCAGAAGAAGCAGCAGCTGAGGCGGCGGTTGCTGCAGCTGCGGCTGCTGCAGCCACATCAGCATCAGCATCAACAAGCCCTTTACCTTTAGTCGATGGATATGCTGCTTAAGTCTCGATCGTCTGGATTAATCCTTCCAATTTCTGCTGTCTTCACTCTTCACTGCGCGTTTTGCTAGCAGCAGCTACTCTTCTTTTGTGCTCCCCAAGCTGGGAAATGATGTAATCCAGAGAGCTGTGCTGTGCTCCTTTTTTGCTTTCTCTATCTCTAATTAACAACTATCTGGTTTCCGTCCATGGAAATAGGGGGGACTTCTCATCCATGGTTATACTAATCAAGTATCCTGATTGCGTAAACTACATCTTCTTGATAGTTACATAACCTGGAAGAGAGATCCCAATCACTCACTTCGAGCTGATAACAAGAACAGCTTGAACAGATTCAGCAAACACACGCCAACCCTCATTCAATTAGATACTACACTACCATTGCGATTGAACTTAATATATGAAAGAAAGTGTTATATACTAAAAACAGCCAGTATACGAATTATTTTCGGAGTTAATTAAAATCCAAACCACCTCATTCAAATAGAGCCCCTATTGCGGGTAGGGTTTTCAATTTCAATTTTGGCCATTTCAGTAGAATTTCACCATTTTATGAACCGGAATTTTCTGAAATTTTGACTAAATTCATAAAAAGTTGAAAAAAACCAAAAAAATTCGGCAAGATATCGACTTCGCGCGGGGCGCGGGAGGGGGGGGGGGGGGGGTTCAAGAGATGGAAGTAACCTAACCAAGAAGCGGCAAGCCGGCAATATGTTCTACTTTATTAATGCCAAGTTGCCAACTAACAGATGGATACAATCATCAAGATGCAAAATGAGCAGATAATTTCCGAGCATCTGGGAGGGGGTATCCGCTGTTGTTATCATCAAATATCGACCTTGATATTATATCAAGACTTCATCTCGAAGTACCATTATTTGTCCATAACTTCTTCTTATCCTTGAAACTAATAAACCATATAATCCTGATTGCGCAAACTACGGGGCTGTTTGGTTGATGGCCTCAATTTGACACACCAAACCTTAGGCTTACCACAAATTCTTAGGCTAGTGTTTGGTTGCGTGCCAAAGTTTGCTATAATTGTGGCCACACTTTGTATGGCTTGCCACAGTTATGGCAAATAGAGTTATGGCAAAGTTAGCCTCCATCCACATGCTCTTGACAGTTGACCTTTGTAACTTTGAGCTGATACCAAGAACAGACTGTACACATTTAACACAAGCCAGATTGTACAAATTCAACAAAACAAGCCAAGCATCATAGACCAGTAGGCAAGCCGCACTACAATACAATCATGGAATGGCGGGGCATTTGGATCAGTTCAAATTTGAATTGAACAAAAGGAATTAGTGCAAAAGAACTCTACCCAAACATGCCTTAAGATAAGTACTAGCACATGTGAATAACTCAGGCAGGAATTAAAATACCATGATGCTTGTAGGGTAGCTATTATTCCAAGGCAAAACTACAGTGCAGGCAATTATTGCATCACAGATTTGCTAGTAATAGTTCCTATGCAAACATTGGGGTCGCTTAACCAGAAATACGTGGAGCACAAATCCTTCAGCAACATCCCCCTAGAAGATTCATTCGTTCAAGCTATTAGCTCAGGTTTATGGTCATGTGAGAAGGAATGCCTGGTCTGCTGTATATATGTTGATACATGTAACTAGGCCATATATATGTCGATACAATGAGAATGCAGTTATTAGATGAAAGAGCACCAGACTAGCTACGATTTCTAAATCATCAAATGAACAGGTGAAAAGAAGTAAACTGCAACATATAGATCATTATACAATCGTACATAGAGGAAGAACTCTAGTATAAGAGCAAAGCCTGAGGTAGCATTATTATGAAGCCAATCAGCATTAATAAATGTACTAGTAGGAATAGAAAAGCTAGTAAGATGCATCAATGAAAGTAGTGGTAGAATTGAGAAGCATCCTCAAGGAGAAACGCAGTAACACTAGCCATCCATCCCAAAGAGGCGCATTTTGCAAGCCCAAGTAATTAATTGGCCACAATTGTTTGAAAGGTAAGAAGAAACAATAAGGGCACCATAAACTTGAACTAGGGTATATTGCTTCGCAAATCAGCTCAAATTTGAATGCAACCATAAGAATTAGTGGAGAAGAACTCTATCCAAACATGCCTTAAGATAGATAACACAAGATGTGAATAACTTAGGCGGCAATTAGATACCATGGTGCTTGTAGATCAACTATTATTCAAGGCAAAAAAATTCAGTGCGGATAATTATTGCAACACAGATTAGCTACTAATAGCTCGTATGTATATAAAAAAAAAATAACGAATGCTCAACCTAAATACGTGGAGCACAAATCCTTCAGCATCTGCGACGTGCCACCTTTGTTACAGTTAAATATATCAAGCCTTCATTTTGAAGCATCTCTTTTTTCCCCCATAACAGAACACAGAACACATGAAACCATAAGCCCATAACCTCTCATCCATTGTGATACTAATCAACCGCGTAATCCAGATTGTGCGACCTACAGGTTCTTGACAGTTATATAACCGGGAAGAGCTCCCAGTAACTTTGAGCTGATAACAAGAACATATATTGAACAACAAAACAATCCAAGCCTCAGAGCAGTTGGCAAGTCACCGCAATTTGAGTAAGCCACTTTGCTCACAGTACCATTGTGATTGAACCTAATGTCAACAATCAATTTTTTTTAAAAAGAAAACATTTCAATCTGCCATATTTCAATGGAAGATTGCTTCATAAATCAGTTCAAGCAATGGAATCACTACATACATGTAAAATTCTACTACTGCAGCTAATCCCAATCAAGAAGAAACCAGTTCTAGTTCATCAATACAAAGTTGCCAACTAACAGATGGATGCAACCAGTGCAACCAGCGAGATTCAAAATGAGTGGATAACTTCCAAGCATCTGGGAGGGGCATGCCCCCCCTGTTATCATCAAATATCAATCTTGAGAAAAGCCTTCATCTTGAAGTACCTGTTTTTTCCCCAAAAAAATAGAGCATGGGACACCAAGTCAAGAACTTCTTATCCTTGATACTAATAAACCACATAACCCAGATTGAGCACACTACAGGGTCTTGACAGTTGACATAACCTGGAAGAGCACCCAGTTGTAACTTGAGCTGATACCAACAAAAGTTTGTACAAATTTAACAAAACATGCTAAGCATCATAGATCAGTAGGCAGGTCACTACAGTTTGAGCAAGCAACTTCGCTCACAGTACTATCGTGGCCTAGGGGGGCATTAGGATGGTGAATCACTTCACGATTCAGTTCAATTTTAAATGAAAACGTAAGAATTAGTGGAAAAGAACTCTATCCAAACATGCCTTAAGATAAACAGCACGTGTGAATAACAGGCAGCAATTAAAATACCATGATGCTTGTAGGTCAACTAGATTAGCTACTAATTAACAGTTCCTATTGCAAAACATTGTGATTGCTTAACCAAAGTTATGTGGAGCACAAATCATTCAGCAACATCCCCAAAAATATTCATTCAGACTAGCTACTAATAGCTCCTAAGCAAAACATCGTGAATGCTCAACCAAAAAAATATATTGAGCACAAATCCTTCAGCAACATCCTCGAAAAGATTCATTCATATAAGCTATTAGCTCAGGTTTACGGTCATGTGACAATGAATACCTGGTCTGCTTGGTTTTAACTTGTAATTAGACCACATACATGCTGATATGATCAGCATGCAGTTATTACATGAAAGAGCGCCAAAATAGCTACAATTTCTAAATCAGCAAGTGAAAAGAAGTAAACTGCAAGATATAGATTACATAACCGCACATAGAGGAAGAACTCTAGTACAAGAACAAAGCCTGAGCTAGAATTATTATGAAGCCAATCAGCAGACAGGGGCACTCAACTACTCAATTAAATGATGCAAACTAGTAGCATACAGATGCAGTAAGTAATAAATGTACTAGTAAGAATAGATGAGCTAGCAAGATGCATCAATGAAAGTAGTGGTAGGATTGAGAAGCATCCTCAAGAAGAAAAATATAGCAACACCAGCAGTCCATCCCAAAGAGGCAGATTTTGCAAGCCCAAGTAACTAATTAGCAACACTTGTTTAAAAGAGGGTAAGAAGAGAGAGTAAGGGCATCATAAAGTTGCACTAGAGAAGGTTGCTAATTGCTTCAGAAATCAGTTAAAAATTTGACTGAAACCATAAGGATTAATGGAAAAGAACTCTATCCAAGCATGCCTTAAGATAGATAACAGAACATGTGAATACTCAGGCAGCAATCAGTTACCATGATGCTTGTAGATCAACTATTATTCTAAGGCAAAACAGTGCAGACAATTATTGCATCACAGATTAAGCTAAGAATAGGTCCTAAACAAAGCATTGTGAATGGTCAACCAAAAATACGTGGAGCACAAATCCTTATTACCTCAGGTTTAAGTCATGTGAGGAGGAATACCTAGTCAGCTTGGTTTTAACGTGCAGTTTTAAACCATGATATTATCGAGGATGCAGTTACTAGATGAAAGAGCACCAGCCTAGCTACAAGTTGTAAATCATCACAAAACCCATTTAAAAAAGAGGTAAACAATCGCTAGTAGTACTGGAGCAAAGCCTGAGCTAGAATTAATATGAAGCTAAAAAGTAGACAGCAAGACCCAATTAAATAATGCAATTTAGCATACAGATGCAGTAATGTACTAGTAGCAATAGATGAGGTAGCAAGAGTAGAATCGAGAAGCATCTGAAGAACAAAAGATGTAGTAACACTGTAGCAATCAAAATCCCCAAGAGGCACATTTTGCAAGCCCAAGTAGGAGTGATTAATTAGCCACAATTGTTCGTTTGAAACAAGGTAGTAAGAAGAAACAAGAGTAAACTTGAACTAGGGTATAATTGGTTGGCAGATCTAGCAAGCAAATTCATCCCTCAATAAAAGCTACTACTCCATTAAGGCAACGAGAGCTTAGGTTTGTCTATCTTCATACACAAAAAAAACATGTCGGATCCGATCCGATCTGATCTGATGAGAGAGAAAGTAGGGGAACAAGAGAAAGGGGGATGGATCAGGCGGAGGCGGAGGCGGCGGTGCGGGAGCGGTAGAGCTTGCCGAAGACGTGGAGGGCGGTGACGAAGCCTATGAAGCAGAGGGACATGACGAGCACCATGGTGGGCGAGAGGCGGAGGCCGGGCGCCTCGTCGGTGTAGAATCGCAGCATGTTGCTCCCGCCGCCACCGGAGAAGCCCCCGGAGCCGCCGGCGGTGGAGGCGCGGCGGCGGCGCATGCCGGCGGCCGCAGCGGCCGTGCCGCGGGGGCCAACGGTGGCCGGGCGGGCGGCCCCGGCGGAGGCGCCGACGGAGGACTGGGACTGGGAGGAGGAGCGAGCCATGGCGATTTGGGTGGAACTGGAAGAGAGGGAGACGAAGACGACCGACGACGACGACTAGTAGTACTAGTACTATGGATCTCGCAAGCGAGCTCCGTAGTAGTTACTACTCACCAAGGGAGAGAGGGACGAGAGGAGGGCCCACTGCCCTGTCATACACCCACACCTTCTCTCTATCTTGTCATCACTTATTAATTATTAATTATTAATGATGTACTACATACTTATTATAGTTAACTATTATATGAATTAGCTATTAGATTGACTATAAATAATTTGGAGCTAGTAGTTGGCTATACTATTAAACTTGCTCTAACCATTCCCATAAGAAGAGTATAGATGCCCAAATGGGCCGCTCGGCCTAGCACAGCGTGGGCATGACTGGGCCCGGGTCGAGATTAGTTTGGTCAGCATGACCCGACATACATGTCAAGCCGGGCCAGCCCATGGGTTGTGCCAGTGACCTAGGCACGTTCCAATAAGATTTGGGTCGTGTCGGCCAGTCCAAAGGCACAGCCTATTATGCTTCTTCATGGAATCAGTCTATTTCCCCTCCCATCTCTTTAGGCCATATCTTATATTATATGGCTAAAATAAGTCTATTTTGGACGTGCCTTATATGGTCGAATTAAGTCTATTTGAGGTCCCTCACTTATTTTTCTTCCCTGCTCATTGGATTGTGTCATGCCGAGCCGGCCCACCACGCCAAAGCATCGGCCCAAGCACAGCCCAATTGTCAGGTCAGGCCAGCACGGGCCCGACACCAGTCGTGTCGTGCCGTGGGCTATGCTGTCGGGCCTCAGGCCTTATGGCCATCTACAGAGAAGGGGTGATCTCATAGAGTAATCTACTATAAGCATTATACGTAATATGGCTGCTAGAGAACGGTATGTCGTTCGGACAGGATACTTTAAGTTATTGACATCATTGTTGATGTTACTATATATGTATCTGGTATCATGTAATATCTGAGTATCAGGCCTGATACCATGTATGTACCATGTCAATACTAATGTCACCGTATAAATACGTGGTACCAAGTACGATACTAACATGTTACCTGGGTACCAGGTTCATAATTATAGGTACCAGGTCTGATATCTATAGGTACCAAAGCATTATGATACCACTAAAGTATTATCGCAAGAAACACCCATACAACATGTAGAAGACTCCAAATTGAACCCCATGAGCAAACCTACACAGGAGCTTAGGGTCGTGAGCCCAGATATGGGTGTACGGATCCACACCTCGAGAGGCCTTGTCCTTGATAACGGTGACCTCGTCGACGATGACCACCTCCTGGAACATGACGAGCAGCTCCATGTCCATTATTTGCTTGGGCACGTGTCCCACAAACTACTTGACACTCTCTTCCTCTACTCCACCCATGCCACCACCACACCACCACCAGCGGGGACGATGACGGTAGCTCCTTCCACGCCCAACGCACCAACGCACCACGGGCGATGGTCGCGCCAGACGCACCACCCACACGGTCAGCCACTGCCGTCGCCTCCGTGTTCATGGGGGTGGTAGTGAGAGAGAGAGAGGAGGGAGTGGAGGGGAAGGGGAAGAGATAAATTAAGAGGATAAGATTGAATATGTGGACTAGATAAGAGAGAGAGAGTGGAGGGGTACTGTAGTTTGTATGGCACTATATATATTTTCAGTTATCCCGTCCCGACGGTAACCGGTCTTGTAGTATTTCTGTTTTGAAAACTCATGCATTTATTGATGTAGCTAAGTTAAACAGAAAACTCATGTATTTATTGATGTAGCTAAGTTGGAGTATACGAGTGGTTGCAATGCATCGAGCAAAGATCTAGACATGGATACATCCAGTTTTGTAAAGAAGCCCCTTAACAATAGACTAATTACACTTTTAAGCTACATTTTGCAGAGAAGGACTTAGAAAGAATTGAAAAAAGCAATCGCGTCCTCCTTCTTCGACTGCTTGCAACGTCAACTTCAAGTTTTATTCCGGCAAAACTTGAAACAAGGTGAGCTGCATACGATTGATCCACTGCATAGTCTCAAAAGGAGCCTCACACATCTGGGGTTCAAACGATAGCTTAGAAATCAAAATTTCAACCATACCACAGAAGATTTCCACCGAAGCATATGCCAAAGAAATACGCAACAACAGTTCCAAAAATCAAACCTAGATCCATAGCACCGGCAAAATATGTGAAGAAGTAAGGAAACTTCATAAGAACCTGAAGACCATACCCAAAAGGGGCATCCATGCATAGGAGGTTGAGGTCAACTCGGTTTGATTCGACACCATTAGCCACCTCATGAAGAATTTTTGCCGAAGATGAAGAAGGCCTCCACCCTTGGAACGATCTCGCCGAAGATGTTGGTGTAGACCAGCGCAATCTCTCCTCATGCAGATCTAGAGGCACCCCAACTAGCAGGAAGGATGTTGTCGACGTAGCGACTCGCCTACGGGATCAAATCCCACAACGAAATCCACGATGACAATACCGATGACCAGCAACTGGAAAAGCACAGACAAACAAGAGAACCCGACTAAAGCAACTAGTAACTTACCCGTGCTAACGCTACGGTAACATTCGGTAAATGTCAACCTTTAGAGGCAAATAAGGATTTTATCCCATAGCATTTGAATAAATAATAAATTATTAAACTTACATTTTCATTCATAAATAAAATGAGTAAGGTAAAAGTTAAAAAAACCGCAATATCCATCCAACAAGGTGACAGAAAGACAAATCCAAAAATAGAAATACATTCTCAAGCTCAAAGTCTCAAACCCGCAAGACCATCAGAAACATAGATGCAATCCAATGATCCATAGTCTGTTAGGCTACACGCTATCTATTCCCCTCTTCACATCACTTTCAGCAATGCATACATATATGATGGGGAAATGAGAAAGTGGAGTTACAAATAGATTTCAACCGATTCCAGCAGCATATCCAAATTACAAATTCATCAGGGAAAAAAAAAAGGATTCGAGGGCCTGTCTTGCTCACAATTTCCATCATAGGAGCAACTTCTTCTGGCCACAGCATACATCATACCCTCTTCACTCCATGTTTGCCATCCTCACCGGGCTTTCTGTTCATCCACCGTGGCAAAACATACCTCCGATCTTTCACTTTTCAAACAAATATTGTTCATGAGAACAAGAAATGCATAATTCACACTGCCTGATTAAAGTTGTCATCAGAGGAGTTGAGTTCCAAATTAGAACGATCCTCGTACTCACAGATATTACAAACAATTTGTAACTCTCACTGATATCATGTTAGGACTCCGTTTTAGGTCAGAACAACTCTTCTACTCAAAGTTTTCAATCAGAGGAGTGTGCTTCAAATTATAACATGTTCAGTACTCACGTATTCTACAATTTTTTTAACTCACTGATCAAGCTCTACTAAACCAGAGGGCTCTGTTTCAAATTAGAACAATTCATTTACTCATAGATTTTGTACAAAAAATTAGCCCTAATCAGGAAGAGTTATTATTCCTTGCATGGTTATAAATAAATATGGCCAAAAAATCTCTGTGGTACTTCAATAGTGCTGTAGAAATGCATCAAAAGGGAAGATTCATACCTTATCACAGATTTCCCAATTACTCCCATATCAAGTTATCAACCATATACATCCAATGACATGCAAATTGCAAACCTGCACACATTCAGATAACCAACCTGGAATAGCAATATGCCTATCTTCATTGAGATTTGAGTCATTGATCATGCAGGAAACAATGTATCTGAATAGGAAGAACCAAACTCAGTTCCACTAACTGCAAACAAAAGTAGCACGAACTGATCTGCATAGTACTAAATTCACCAAAACAAAAGGGAAAACTGCAGCATGATAGTATTCATTAAGCAGGATATCCATTCCACGTGCAGTATGCAAAAATGACCAAAAAAAAGAAAAAAAATCAAATTCAAAATTCTGAATTTTAAATCAGAATTTATTTGGGCAAGGAGTAAAGAACAGAGAGTTGCACACGTCTGAAATGAAAAAACTCACTGGACCTTACTATGCAGTGTCCATGTAAAAGGCTGTTTCAAGGAGAGCCTTGACCTAGCCGCAATCTAGTAGTACTCTTTTCATGCAAAAATCCTAATCCTAAGAACCAAAATACCAATAAAACCAATAAAATCTTGAATTTAATTCCTAGGATAATTTATCTTACTTCAGATGTGAAGTAACTGTAAGCATGGATTTGGATTTTAATCTGACATTGTCCTAACTGTACATGTACTTCAAGATGTCATTAATCAAGGACTGCACAAAATCATTAAATTGCATGGTATTGGTGATAGACAAATTTGCTGTACCATATATCTATAATCATCATTCCTGTACATCTTACCAATGCTTCCCATATTATCAGTAATCAACAATATAAAATAGGTTGTGAATATCTGAAAATATAATACATAAAGCACAATAGAAAACTTCAGGAAAAGTTTATTTGAGTAATATTACATATATTTTGAGCTATTAAGATGTGAGATTTGTGTCAAGTTTCATATATATTCAGCAAATATACCACTGGAGAATTGATAACAGGAATTATTGTAACTATAAATGAATGCTAGCCCAGTTATAACAGGAATTATTGTAACTATTGATCACATATGAGTGCATCAGGTTAAGAGTAAATTATCTCAAGGTGTACAGTAGGATCCCTCAAAAGCATCACATATGACATCAGGCGATACTAAAAGTATATACTTAGCAGTCAAGCATAGATTCAACACATTAACTTAAGTATCGGAGAGTTCAACTAAACAATAGGATTTAGTGAGCTGAGTACAGAAGCCATCTTTCTCAAAATACAATGCACTATAAATTTCTTTCCCATGAGCAGATTGTCAGGAGCACATCCCATAGGTTTCTCCTATAAGTAAATTTCACAATCTGTTTTACGGTGGATGTGGTTGTTAATTTGTACAAGGAATATTTAATCATCTGTAGATTTTGTTAATATAAAGTCTACTGTACAATCCTCTGATAAATTATAAGTAATCTAAGCACTGTAAATTTGCAACAAAGAATTTTTATGTCCAGGACAATATTCCCTAAACTTCGGAGGCTGCTATCTGTGAAAAAAATAACTATATTCAATGTCACCATTCTACTTTGATGTATGCCAAACTACTTGTTTCGTATAAATGGGATTATAATATAAAGTGGTACTGCATTTTTCTCATAGAAAGATTGCAGTCCCAAAAGTTGGAGCTGCAATACTATGTCCAGAAATAAGCGTGCAATCTTATGAAATAATGCACAATCAGTATAGTGCTGGGCTGTTATAGTTAATGTATGGGTTAGCAAATGGTCAACATAAACATAAAAATAAAGGATCGAACTATGTTTGGAGCATCAATTTGGACGTTTGGCATCATATCAGCTTGTCCCGAGTCAAGGAATACATGCAAAAAAAACTTCTAATTTCACAGGGAAAATGTTCATTCTATACTTCAGACAGATCATACTGCCACAGAAGAGACCTATTGAACGAAATTTCTATTTGGTGATGTCCAGCAATCAAACGCCATAAATGTTTTTTTGTTTACCTTTTCTAGATGGGAGGGGAGCGGCGATGAACTCGGTGGCGGCGCGGAGGCGGCCGTCGAGGCGGAGGTCGGCAGCGGAGCGGAGGAGGGAGAGAGGATCGGCGAGGCGGGCGTCGGCGACGTTGATCCGGCGGCGGAGATGCGGCGCGCAGGTGGCCGTCGAAGCGTTGATCGGTGCCGGAGCGGAGGAGGGAGAGAGGATCGGCGAGGCGGGCGTCATGGAGAGGCGGGGTCGGTGGTCACGTCGACGGAGGGGGAGGCTGCGACGGCGCTCGCAGAAGGAGACCGGCACGCGGGGCGGCGGCGGCGGCGGCGGCGGCGTGGTGTTAGAGATTAGGTATGCGTGGCAGGGGTGCGCGAAACGTCGCCGTGACGGGCGCACGCGTTAAAGAGGACTCGGAGAAGAGAGGTGGATCTGATCTTGATCGTTCGATCACGGGTAGAGGAATACGAGCCGTCGGATTTAATGATGAAGTATAAAGGATGTAAGACGCAGTTGGTGAATTATAGGGTAGATGAATTATAGGGTAGATAGATGATAACTACTTCTATAACTATGGCGTACAACCCCTCTTCCACCCTCTGCTGCCGGCGAACAACCGAAGAGGAGGAGGAAGAGGAAGAGGGGTCAAAGAAGGGAGAGCGCTATTGTTGGGAGATTCTGGGGAGCTCGAGACTATTATAAAGACCTGCTATAGGCATTGTTATTTTGTATTTCTTCTTCCTTTTGTCATATACTATTAATAATAGCAAACATGCCCGTGCGTTGCAACGGGTGAAAAAACGCAATGATAATATACGTTTTTCATTCATAACCATGTTGACGACAATCAGAAAATCAGAAAATTGGAACATCTTAAATGTAATAGCCCAATCTCAATGATGGCAACCTTACGATGTTTGCTTTACCTAAAATAATTGAATTATTCATACAACAACATGCATATAATCTAAAATATTCTTTTAATCTCATTCTTGCAACCAATCAAATCCTACACTGCCTCGTATGGTCAAGTCTATACAAAATAGAGTCACTGAGCACTCTTCTCTAAATAACAATTAAAATATGTTTATTTTATAAGATTATTTCCATATAATATGTTATCAAGAATAATAGCTATCCCTATACTTCACAAAAATAGTATGATAATTGCCTATAAAGATGTGCAGGGTCTCCACTACATGAGAATAGTTGACAAACAAAAGTTGTGTAGAAGATGAAAAAAAGTGGATAGAGCCTATCCCTATCCGACCAAGTGTCCATCAATTTAGCATTTTTTTCTAACAGTTTTTTTCCTCGTATGCTTTTCTTTTTGCTTTTCTAGAGACGATGGAAATATTTTTTTCTCGCGCGTTTTTTTTCGGAATATGGAACCTTTTTTCTAGCACGTTTTCGTTTTCGTTTTCTTTTGCGCTTTTTTCGGCATTTTTTTCTTCACGCGTTTTTTAAACCGTTTATATTTTCTCGCGCATTTTTTTTCTTTTTTAATATACGGTAGAAACTTCTCTAATAGTTAGATTATATTAGATTAGAGATAAAGAAGATATATAAACGGAATACTAAAACGACGAAAAAAAATTAGACTTTTTTCCACCCTTTTTATTTTTTTCTCGTGCATTTTTTTTACGAACGGTTTTTTTTACCACTTTATTATAGTGTCGGACCTTTCTAGATATAAGAGGATTCGATTTTTTTTACCGCGTCACATATAATTTATTTTTCTTTGTAATCAGACTTTTTTTTGTCCTTTTTTTACCGCGTCGACGGAGTCAGATTCGTTTCGATTTTTCTCTCCCCCCCTTTTGCCTTTTTTTTATCGGACAGATTTGTTTTTTTCGCCCCTTTTTTTATCGGACTTTTCTTTTTTTGCCCGGTTTTTTTCGCTCGGTTTTCTTTTTTCGCCCGGTCGATTTTTTTACCGCGTCACATATAATTTCTTTTTCTTTGGAATCGGACAATGTTTTTTTATTTTTTTCGCCTTTTTTTACCGCGTCGACAGAGTCGGATTCATTTCGATTTCCCCCCCCTTTTTTTGCCTTTTTTTGGATCAGACAAATTTGTTTTTTTTGCCCTGTTTTTTTATCGGACTTTTTTTAATTTTTTTCGCCCGGTTTTTTCGCTCGTATTTTTTTCGCCCGGTCGATTTTTTTTACCGTGTCTCGTATAATTCCTTTTTCTTTGGAATTGGACAATTTTTAAAAATTTTTTCGCCCTTTTTGTATTGACTCGTTTCGTTTTTTTCCCGCTTTTTTTTGTCCCGTATTTTTTTTGGATCGGACTTTTTTTTTCTCCCTTTTTTTTCGCTCCGATTTTTTTGGATCGGACTATTTTTTAGCCAGGTTTTTTTTCGCTGGTTTTTTTTCCGCCCGGTTCCTATTTTTTTGGGTCGGACAGAATTGTTTGTTTTTCGCTCCTTTTTTTTACCGGACATTTTTTTTTCTCACGTTTTTTTCACTCCGTTTTTTTATCGGACTTTTTTTGCCCAGTTTTTTCGCTCAGTTTTTTTCGCCCGGTTTTTTTGACGGATGCTAGTAATAATGCCCATGTGTAAGCGGCTTGTTTTTTATAAACAGTGGTTTTTCCTTTTCCTTGCGCGATTTTCTCAAACCATTTTTCAGAAATGTGACATTTCTTTCTAAAAGTTTTTTCATAGCATGTTTTTTTTCTTTTTTTACTGACGAAGAAAACCATATTTTTCTCTTTTTTTGCTTTTCTTTTCTCGTGTGTTTTTTTGCCTGTTTTCTCGCACGTTGTTTTTGCTTTTTTTTTCGAATGTTTTTTTCTTTTTTCCAATACAAGAGAATATATGACGAAATAAAGCTGTCGACGTTTGATGGCTCGACTACGGTATTTGGACAGTATGGGGATCGTCGGTGCTAAGATATATGCGAGACTGAGGTAAAAGAGATGGGGACAGGAATTTTTATACAGGTTCGGGCCCCTGAGCTATGAGGTAATAGCCCTACATCCTGTTGGCCGGAGCCGATGTTGCTTTTTATTCACCATAATCACACCAGTACAATATGTGGGGTAGCCTATCTAATTGTTGTCGACATGGCGGTCTGAAGGTCTGACTCGTAGTCGACAACAGGGTAGCCTTCCTCCTCGAGCTCGCGCCCGACGGAATCAGAGACAGTGCTAGATCCCTACGGCCGGCCTCTGAAGGTACCGGATAGGGTCGATCTAGGCGTATCTCTGATGTCGATATCCGGCGGCTTGTCTTGGCGTATATTGGCTTGTATGTTGTCTCGTGTATTGTGTTGATTGTCTCGTCATGGTGGGTGTTGATCGTGTTGATCGTCTCATCATGGTTGTCCCCCTGTCCTCCTAGGGGGGCTTGTATTTATACCCATAGGTGTCCCCTTGTCCAAGTAGAGCTAGGGAAACCAATATGGATACAATCCGAGTAATCCTTGTCGTTTCCATGTAGAACTCTGGTTGTCTTTCCTTATCCGGAACTCCTCCTATATCCGAAGGTTGCTTCCGTATAGGACATGGTATGTTGTGGATCCTGCCGAGATTTAGTCAACTAATAGTATTAGGTATGTGGTATCCATAACCCTGACAAAAGCCATGTAGTAGATGGCAAAAAATCGATGATCCTATCCGACTCAAGCGTCCATCAATTTAGCCTTTTTCTGAAAATTTTTTCAAAGCGATTTGTTTTTAAATAGACGGTGTTTTTTTCTTGCACGGTTTTCTCGCAAGTTGTTTTTGCTTTTTTTTCGAATGTTTTTTTCTTTTTTCCAATACAAGAGAATATATGACGAAATAAAGCCATGTAGTAGATGGCAAAAAATCGATGATCCTATCCGATTCAAGCGTCCAACAATTTAGCTTTTTCTGAAAAATTTTTCAAAGCGATTTGTTTTTTAATAGACGATGTTTTTTTCTTGCGCGGTTTTTTAAAACCATTTTTTTTAGAAATGGCGTGTTTTTTCTAACAGTTTTTTCCTCGCATGTTTTTTTAAAAAAATATTTTACCGACGATGGAAATAATTTTTCTCGCGCGTTTTTTATTTTTTTATTGAAGATGGAAAACCTTTTTAGCATGTTTTTTTGCGCTTTTTTCTGACTTTTGCCTCACGCGTTTTTTTTAACCGTTTTATTTTCTCGTGCATTTTCTCTTTTAAAATAGTTAGATTAGATTAGAGATAGAGAAGAGATATATACTGGTTAGAAATCGGATTTTGTTTCACCACTTTCTTAGGGAATCGAACGAACTCTTTTAGATGTTTTTCAGATTTTTTTTGGCCTTTATGAATCAGACATTTTTTTCGTTTTTAAAGGAATCGGATCTAGTGTTTTTTTCACCACTTTTTTTTTTGCCTTTTATATAAATCAGATTTTTTTTTCCGTTCGGATCTACAGTTTTTTTCACTATTAGGGGAAAAAGACTTTTGTTGTTAATGTTTTTCTTTATTTTCTTTTTTGTGCGGCTTTTCTTTTTCTTTTTATGCACCTTTCTACCTTTGTTCTCTCTCTTTTATTATTTTTTTAACAAAAACGACCTAAAGTACCTTATTGCAAGATTATAGGGACCCAAATGTAAATATAAAAATTACAGGGACTCAAATATAAATATAAAAATTACAGGGGCTCAAATGCAAAAGTACAAACAAAAATAAAAATCATATAAAAATGGAATGCTATCTACATGTAGGTTTCGTTTTTGCAAACAATCTTCAATCCGGCACATCAATTTTTTTTCAACAACGTAGGGAGAGCGCTATTGTTGGGAGATTCTGGGGAGCTCGAGACTATTATAAAGACCTGTTATAGGCATTGTCGTTTTGTATTTCTTCTTCCTTTTGTCATATACTATTAATATATAGTCCCACTTGTCATAAACACATTGTGTCTTAGAGACTGTGCTACAGCTGACTACAAATATGTAGTTCGCTGCTCTTCTCTCTCATCTTTTATTTTCTCGATATGTGTTTATAGCTGGCTTATAGTTTGCTATTGTACCCGCTGATCTTACGTATGTATCGATTAGTAAAACAGGTACGTACATGTTGCTGGCTGGCTGGCTATCTATTTAAATAGTCGGTTGCATATATGGTGTGTGTTCTGCCTTGTTGGTTAAGCTCAATCGCTCATCATGAAGCAACCACACCAGCTAGCGTACGTGAAAAGAGTAATAAGTAATTATTGTAGACTTATGATATGGGCTATGTAAATGGGCATGCTTGGGTTGGAAAGGAACAAAAAGGAAAGAAGAAGAGTTTGCAATCGGATCGGAAAACCACCCTAGGGTTCGTCTCACTCGGATCGATGGCGGCGGAGAAAACCAAGCAGAGGCGCGGAATTGAGGAGAGCGCGAGGATGAGGGACAAGGGTCGATTGTCCGACGAGACACCGTCGGAGGAGGGCCACGAAATCATCCGTTTCCGCCGCGGCTGGGAATCCCTTTACTCCCATCCACACCGATCCTTCGATGCAACCAGTCAGTCAATTATTCTTCTATAATCCCATCCCATCTCTTGTACTACTGGAGTAGCATGCAGCTTCTAATTCCAACAATGTGAATTAACTCAATTCAATTCAATTGGTAGCTTTCGCCCCGATGCGCTATACACATGTACCCATCCCAAAGTACGCGGACTGCAACTACGGTCTGCAGATCTTCTCCGTCAAAGTCAACCAACTCCTCCTCAACGAGGAAGAGGAAGAGGAAGAGGAAGAGGGGCTCCACTGGCCATTGCACGTCTATGGCTTGGTCGCCACCAGGGACTCGCTTGATCCTAGGCGCAATCTTCTTTTCAACCGCACCAGGGATAACTGCCAAATCCTCACCCAACAGGTACACTACTCACCAGTTTACTAGTTCAGGGATACTTGGACCTTTTCCAATGCATTTTAATTAATCCACATTTCACATCTATCAGTATGGCCATGTTTAGATCAGGGGTGTAAAGTTTTGGCGTGTCACATCGAATATACGCACACACATTTAAAATGTTAAACATAATTTAATAACAAAACAAATTATAGAATCCGGCTGTAAACCGCGAGACGAATTTATTAAGCCTGATTAATCCGTCATTAGCAAATGTTTGCTATAGCACCACATTATCAAATCATGGCACAATTAGACTTAAAAGATTCGCCTCACAATTTACATATAATCTGTGCAATTAGTTATTTTTCCGTTTATATTTAATACTCCATATACATGTGTCCAAACATTCGATGTGACAGGGTGTAAAATTTTGTCAGGGGATCTAAACAGGCCCTATATCTACTAAGAAAGATATTTTGGCCTGCTTCCTTGTTATTTTGTTAGAAACCAGATGTTACCTGATTGATTAAATTGTGATGGTTGCAGGATCCATTTTTGCTGCTAACAGGGCCAACTCGTGCTGTTGTGCTAGTAATTGATCCTGTGAAATTCGAAATCCAACTAAAAGCGAAAGGCACAAGTGAGTCTGAAGACAAAGTGCTCAATTTCAGAGTCCTTGTCTATCACCATGATTATTCTTTGGCAGATCCTCCTTTCATAGTTCGGAGGCGTCGCCGTTGCAAGAGAAGTGAGCTTGAGTTTGCATTTACACTGCTTGTTCGGTCAGTTGAGGCGACTATCAGTGTCCAGGTTGTTGATGGGTCGTCATGGCCGGATGATTTGGGAGTACAGGTTGCTGCCCGCACGGCCAGTATAAGTGATGAGGCCATCAAGCTACTTGATTCTCGATCTGCACATGGTGGTAGAGTGCCCATCTGCCCTGACGATGGTGTGATTAAATGCCACTGACATGTGGGGTACACTATTTATTTTTCGGATATAGATTTTCATCTCTCGAGGGGATATCCCCTTATTGTTTGTATGTCATCTAAATAGTTATAAAAAAATTGACAACATAGATTGTACTCCTTCCATTTCATATTGTAAGATTTTTTTGGACTTACCTAGGTTCATACATTGATGAATGTATATGTTTTCTATATGTGTCTAGATTTATTAACATCTTTATGAATTTGGGTAATGCTAGAAAGTCTTACACTGTGGAACGGAAGAAGTAACAAAAAGAACAAATTAAACTAAAAATAGTTATCGACTTATCGTACATTCATATTTATATTTGTTATTTTTGTTACAATTTGTAGTAGAAGTTGAATTTTAATTTGCATACTTGTAAAGTGATATATATATCATATTAAGCTATCTTGCCAATTTTTTTAAAATTTGTTGAAGACTATTTAGGTGACATGCACGAAACGAGGGAATATTCCCTCGAGGGATGAAATCACTTTCCCACTTTTTACTGATTGGAGTGTCGTGTAATCGCCACGTTCGACACAACATGGGATGAAGATGAAGTCGGCAAAACCACCTTAATAGTGTGCCTGGTTTTAAAAGATGAGGGATGTATAGTAGACATTTTCCAATAAGATGGAAGGAGAGCGTTGCTTGGCCCAGTAGATGTGATTAGGGCCCGTTTCTTTCTAATTACGTCCGTTCCGTTCGGTGGTGATGGAGTCCGAGGCGAGAGAGAGATTTCCAATCCGAGCAGTACCACGCACCCACGCGGGCTCCGTCAAATTTCATCCAAAAAAAAAAGTGTTTCCGCCCGCGCGGCGGCTTCCCTCAAAGAGATCGATCGATCTGATATACTCCCTCCTTCCCTAAATGTTTGACACCGTTGATTTTTTTAAACATGTTTAACCGTTCGTTTTATTCAAAAACTTTTGTGATATGTGTAAAACTATATGTATACATAAAAGTATATTTAACAATAAATCAAATGATAGAAAAAGAATTGACAATTACTTAAATTTTTTAAATAAGACGAACGGTCAAACATTTTTAAAAAAGTCAGCGGTGTCAAACATTTTAGGATGAAGGTAGTACTTAGTATATGCTTGTGGATTATTAATTGTTTCATGGCAACGAGGAGAGGGGATCGAATAAAGAAGAAGAGTAGTACTAGTACTAGTGACGACGGGGAGAGGATGATGAGGGATTTATTGATGATGCAGCGATTGGAGGTGGAAGAAGAAGAATCCCAAGAGGAGGAGGATTATGAGATTGTGATGTTCCGCCGAGATGGCACGGTCGTAACTTTGGCTCCTTCGACGATACCAGTCAGTATCTACATCTTCCTCCTCCAAAACCCTAGATTAATTAATTTCTATTCTAGCGATTAATAATCCTTATCAGACTATATATAGTTAACAATAATGGATCCTATATGCAGCTTATCCGGCCATGCGTTACACGTTTGGACACATCCCAAAATCAAGTTTTGTTGGCTGCGACAGCGGATTGCAGATCTTCTCAATCAAACTCCTCCTCCGCAACACCAGCACAACAGACCATCAGCTCCAGTGGCCACTTCATGTCTATGGCCTCGTCGTTACCAGGGACTCTCTTGATCCTAGGCGCAACCTTCTCTTTAATCGCACTAGAGACAACTGCCAAATCCTTACTCAACAGGTATATATTATTAACCTCTTCTTCTTAATTCAAGTCCATTAAGAGGTTGATTGACTAGCTCATATGTATGCTCTTAATTGCAGGATCCCTTTCTAGTGCTAACAGGACCGTCTCGCGCAATTGTCTTAATTGATCCTGTTCAATTTGAGGTTCAGCTCAAAGCAAAGTCCAATAACAACACCCTGCATGATCATCCTGACCAAGATCAAATTGTTAACTTTGGAGTGGTGAATTCTGGCTATCTTCCGGGCCCAACGAGTCATTGCATCGGCAAGCGAAGTGAGGTCGAGTTCGCAATCTCAGTGCTTGATCGGTCAATTGAGGCCACTATCATCAGTGCTTGATCGGTCGAGTTCGCAATCGTCATGGCCGGATCATCTCCAAGGAAGGCTTATTTCCCGTACGGCCAGCACAATTCATCAAGAAATCGTGTTACTTGATTCTCAAAAACAACAAGATGGAAAAATGCCTATCGATGATGACGGCTTCATTCAGCTTTCAAGGCGTGTTGTTTCGGTAGAACTGGCTGGCCAACTCATAGTTCAAGTGCTGGCTTTCAATTCCCAGCAGCAAGTAGTTGACAATGACAACGACAACAAGAAGGATGAGATTGTTGCAAAACACGAGATTGTTTTTGATCCTAAGGAAGCTTCATTGAGTGTGGAGACGTGTGAGCTACAACTAGGAGGAGGAGGAGGAGGAGGAGGAGGCCCATGTAAGCTTCAAATCTCTGTTGCTTGGTCTCTGGTCGATAGGCTTCCCCCTGTTGGCTATTTCTAACTTACCCATTTCGATCGCTGCCATTCCAAATTTCTATCATGCTAGCTAGTATATCCATTCAGACAATCATATATATATTTGAGACACATATAGTTCCAATTAATCTTATAAAAAAAACTGGCTAATATGGCTATTTGGGTATCGCCCCTGTTTGATTTGGCTTGTGATGGTTTGCGTATTTTGGGGGTGGAATTTCACGAATCCGATTGCCGATGTTGGGTTTGTTTTGGGTTTTTGCGTCTGAGCTGCCGCGTTCATGGGGTGATTAAGGGCAAATGCTGCGTACCTGTCTCTCTGGTTCATTAACAATCTTTCCTACAAAGGCCATATACAAGTAATTATTCAAAAGAAACATTGAAGGAAATAACCTGTATAATTAGTTGTTGATGGGTAGAGACCTGTTTGAACCAGAATAAAGATGATGATCACCAAAGTAAAGGTTGGCGACATGGCATGTATGTAATATATGATTATATATTGTGAGATGCAAAGAAGATCTGGGAATCACATTTTGTGCACAATAAGCTGTTCAAGTGAGTCCAATCTTTGAGTGATGTTCTGTGTTACATCACTCTTGGAGTGTTATGTAATTAATTGTTCTTCAGATTAAGGCACAAGTAGTATCTGACATGAGGTTCCTTTTTTACGTAAATTTGATTTGCTCACTGCTACTTAGCTATACAGGGTGAAGAAAGAAGTGCGAAATTTCCGAATAAAAGCAATTTGTGCTTGCTTGCATAGTGTGGACATGGCCCAAGCTCTTTGGACTGTTGGTCTGGAAAATGAATTAAGTCCCAATAGTTCAGGTGTTGGACTGAAGGGATTGGGTTGAATGCCTCCTTACATAAAGGAACCTAATGGTTACTGTTTGTGACTTTTTAAGTTCCACACAATTATTTAGATGTTCTATAGTTCAGGTGTTAAGAGTAGTGTGATGATAATGTAGGGCGAGTCATATTAATTTTTCCTCTACTGAAGTGCAATTTCTAAGATAGTTCCACGCTGCATCCTTTCTTTTTAATTTTCATGCAACCCAGTTTAACAACCAAATTTAAGAAAGTCATAAAGTTGATTTGGTTTCAAAATGGTCTTTAGTTCTGTAGAAAGCTTTTTTTTTTTTTTGGTGATGCACTGATGCTACAGCAGTAACAGTAACTATCTAGTCTTCCTCACAAGCAAAAGCTATATTAGACTTTGAGGCACAATTTGTACCCCTGGGCTTAATTTTTAAATACTGCGCTCCTTTTCGGAGAAATGGAGTTGCATAAACACTGATCGATGCATGGAATGTCATAGTTTACATCTTTGAGATTTGGCACAAGCGTTTGTGAACGTTGCAGCCAAGGTTCGATTCCTGAACTCCTTACCTTCCGCCTGGATTAAATGAAGGGCCGGAAATATGTGGCTCTTCCTATCTTAATTCCATTGGATGGCTAGCTCCTTCTAGCCATCCCAACAATACTTGTGTAGTTGAATCAATAATGTACTATAACGATGGTGAATGCAAGATTTTAAATTGGAAAAACTCATCCTCTCACAACCTATCACATCTAATTAGCTTTGTTTCCGTGTACGTGGTTCCTTTAGATAATTTAGCTCTGTTATGATATTCTATGGGTCTCCCCATAGTCGAGTCCTCTCGTAGGTTGGCATTTTTGCTTTCCTAGTAGGTTGGCATGCAGGTGGTGAATCTAGTGGCGGTGGTTGTCAGAGGTGGTCGGGAGCCAGTGCCCCGAATCGACGGCCTTGGAGGCGGCGGCCAGAAGCTGGCACCCCGAATCGACGGTCTCGGCAGTGACAACAGTCGGGAGCCGATGACCCCAATCGATGGTCTCTGCGGTGAAGGTCGGGAACCAACGCCCCTATTTGACGGTCTCCTTGACAGCAACATTTAGGTAGTGGCACCACTAGTAAAAAAAACATTTTTTTCTAGACTGGCGACAGAGTCAGACGGGGGCGACGAAGGCTTTCGTGGCTGCTCGGCACTTGCAGTCGCGAGCCAGATGTTGGAAGCCCCGGCAGTGGCAGCAACGCACCAGGAGACGGCACGAGGCAACCTGGTGCAAGGTGGAGAGACAGTTGAAACACCGGTCGAGAAGGTCCGGTGGGATGCCGTGAGCTCCTAGCTGCGCCAGTGGCAAGGAAGGACATGGCCGGCAGCGGCGGCCGCCCGGATGCCACCCCTCCAGAGCTGGGGGCACAGCCCCGAAGAGCCCCTCGAAGATTTCAGCCGACAGGGGTAGTTGTCGAGCCGGCGAGGTGGATGACTGGCGCAGAGGCGGCGGTTGACAAGCCGACAGAGACGGACTGCGTCGCGACTCAGCGCAAGTGGAGGGCCACAGCGTGGTGGCAAAGGAGCACGTCGCAGTGGGGCGACCGGGGGCAGGGAGGGTGGCCGTGCCAGCGGCGACCGTCGTGCCACCTCTAGGTAGGAGGGAGAGGGCGAGGGTGAAGGGGAGAGGGAGACGTAGAGGAGAGAGAGGGATGGCGAGAGCTCGACCCGGGCCACGCTGTCTGGCCGCTCCGCCACCTCGTCGTTGGTGGCGCCCGCTAGGACGGGAACAACAACGACAGAGCGGAGAGCCATGGGGTGACCAACGCGGGCGGCTGCGGTGACAACCGGGGTCGGAGCGGCGTCCGGTGCAGGCTTAGGGCCGCTGCCGCCTGGCCGGCTGCATCTCGGCGATGGCGGCGGCGACGAGCCGCCTTAATCGAGCAAGTTAATTTACACCGGGGATTTTACCAGGGGTTAACATGTGTATGTTTAGTGGAAATATCAATCCTATGTGTACCGGGAGAATTCCAATTCTCTTTTAATGTGGTTAATCTCCAATATATTTTTAAGTCTAAAACAAAGTCCATGCGACGCGCACACATGCATATATATGTATCTTGGTTTGCACTTATGCATGCACGTTCATCACAAGAGTTCTACCGCCTCCATCCTAAAATATAAGTATTTTTAGCTATGAATCTGGATAACTATGTGTCCAGATCCATAGCCAAAAGTGGCTATATTTTGGGACGGAGGTAGTACTATATTATTATACGTGACCTTTTTCTTCCCTAGTTTTTAGCAGTCACTGTTGATTAAGTTTTCTTCTCTTGACTGGGCCTTACCATTTTCATCTATTTTCGCAACCACATAGTAATATAGCTATGTCATGCGGTTTGGCAGCTTTGCATACATCACAAATCAATGGAAAGTGGAGGGAAAAGAAAGAAAAACTAATATAATTAACCTGAAGATCGATCGAGTATGGATTCGAATGATAATGGCAACGAAGGAAACAGCAGGTGCCTTTTGAATGGCAGGCAGGCAGCAAAAGTCTCAAAGTGATGGACGATGAATGGATCCTGCAACTGCAAGTGACTTTACCATGACATGACACTAATGCTAATGCCCAATGCACCGCAACTTTGCACTAAAAGGTTAAATTAAAGCTAGCTATGAAGAAACGATATACCCCTCCGTCCCAAAAAAAAAATCCAATCCTAGCTATGATGCGTGTCCAAGTTCATAGCTAGAGTTTAACTTTTTTTTAACAGACTAGTACATATTAGTGCCCCCATATATATGTACGTGGGGCCGGCTATCTGCAATCTTATTGGTGCATGATAAATGGGAGGATCTCTCTATTTATATATCATCAAGGGCAAATTGATCCAAGTCACTGGATTCATCGTCATCAAACATGATTCCATATGTGTGTAGTTTGTACGTACATACACAGGTGGTCTTCGATCTTAATTCTTCTTCAGACTTAGCTAAAGCCCTGGTCTTTTAATCGATCTTCAATATATGCATCAAGCGACCATGCACAAATGTATTCCTATATATCGTGCACGGGGAGTTAACATATATTCAGATTGTCATCTATAAATATCAGTAAGATGTAGATGTGTCTGTAGCCCAACCACACATGAAAACAAGATTTTTGCACGTAGTCACCTAAGCCGACTGCATGCGAAAATAATTTCGGCAAAAAAAATAAAAATCTCCTGCCATTGAAGCCTAACCAAATGTTTCAACTCCACCTAAAAATAAGTGGAGCGGACTAGAATATATGCTCTCACAAAATAAATTAGAGATGTAGAGCGGAGGGTTCGGTTTGCTCCACAACTCCACTACAGACCTTAGCTGTTGGAGTTAAATTTAATAGTTGGAGCCCGCCAAACCTTAAAATTATACACTTTCCTACCTATATATATAAGTATATACTTGTATTGATTGTATTTGATACGATATACATGCAAGAAGCATATATATGCTTTGTCAGCTGCCACCAGTAATACATGCAAGAGAAGAAGTGGAAAACATTTGGTCAAGGGTGGTGGTGATGAACAAACGCATATACCAGTTACATTATTATTGGTAGGGGCCGTATATATGCTGATGCTGGCTGGTGTCATCGTCTCAATGGGTACACATCGATGTGTAAAAAGTTAGGCCTAAGCTTCTACTTTAGTATCAAATCATAACAACATAAGATCGCATATTAAACATACCATGTACTAGGTCTTAAAATATAAGAATTTTTTACTCGAACATAGCATCCGAGATGTTACTTTGACTAAAAATATCTATAAAAATAAAAATAAGATGTTTTAAATAAAATAGTTACATATTATGATATTTGTTTATTGATAAATTTAGTAACATTAATTTTACATAATTTATTTTTTATTTTTTTATTAATAGTTAAAACCAAAAATTTTTGATTTGTCACTATTCTTAAAATGCTTATATTTTAAGACAGATGGAGTATTGTAAATCTAGATAAAGGTTGCTATACTTTGAAAAAAAAAGTATATAGGCCGATGTATATATACCCGCTATAATAATTAATCGATAGGAAGAGCATCCATCATATATGGACTATATATGGAGAGTCCATATATGGAGGCTGTGAGTCTGTGAGCAGCTGCATGAATGTCGTTGCCAAAGGGACATCATTTATACATGCATATCTCTCTTTATTATCAGCTTTATCGTTTGGCTTATAAACCAAACAACATATTT